AGGTATGTCTTTAGTCGCCGGTCTTGAGTTATGCCTCTTGCAGACAACACATATTTTCAGAACTCTTTTCACTGCTTGTCTACCCTACAATATCCAGAACTTAGTTCGAAGTTGCGCTAGCGTAACTTGAACTCCTCCGCATAATACCATTTTATGCACGTGACGTATTAGCAGTTCCGTCATATGCTCATCCTTTGGAATTACTATAACGTGCTTGTTGAATTCTTGGCTGCACTGCAATCGTCCCTTCTGTCTGATGATTCCATCGTTATCAAGGTAGACTTCATGTCCATTAATTTCGAATGGTTGAGTGTTTGAATATGCCTCACCCTTTGTTCGTCTCAGTGATATTTGTGTCTGTCTTATCCAGTATTTCTCTGCATTTGTTACCTGTTTTCCTGTCAAAGGCCCTTTACGATTTTCCTTTCTTGTGTTGTCTATGAATCTGAACACCCGTGCTGTCACTCTTATAAGCCGTCCGTATCATGAATACCTTTCGATTTCCAAGATTGGCTCGATTTCGGCTCTTCCCATGCATTACTGACTGTGTTTTATGCTGGTCTTCCACGTCTGTATTTGAGCCAATTATGCTTACTAAGTTCTTTTCCAGCGATGTTATCCATTCGGGACCGTTCCACCATAACTTTGACGTTACCAATGTATTTGCGCTTATTCCTCATGTATAGTATCCTGGTTCACGGCACCATTATTAAGACGATTGAGAACAGGGACTGCTTCGAACGAATACGGTTTATTAGAAGAAGTGAAGTCTTCTTTCTTCTTCTTCCGGCGTTTGATGATTATATTTTATATCCTCTTCTCAGCAATTTCCCACATCTCGTTGTGAAAATGGAGCAATTGTGCCACTTGATCCATCCCTGTCTATTGTGGTGCATAAGGCACTTCTTTGTTGAAATTTGTCTGTCGCCCTTGTTCTTATATATTCAATAGCTTCGTCCCCTTCTAGCCTAGCACCTTGAGCTGTAGTTATAAACATCTGCTCTAGGTTTGTTTCATTTCTTAGGGAGTTTAGATGGTTCCAAAATTTCGCAGCAGCCTTTCTGTCCTTTTTATGTACTTTTGCCAGCCACTGAGTACCCTTTCTTCTAATTTTTTCATTGATCAGGAGGGACGCTTTTCTTCTAGAGCTTAGAAAGATTTCCCATTTTCGTTCAACATCATCTGTCGGTTCACCCCGTTGCTTAGCATGTCTGTGTTCCCTAGAGGCTTCCTGACGCTTTGCTATGGCTCTCTTAACTTCCTCATCCTACCAACTCTTGGGTTGTGTCTTCTTTTCCGGGGTGACTTGTTACGCGTCTTAGCAAGCTCTAGCTCAAAGAGTCTAATTAGATTCGTGTATGTCCACACTGTCTTATTATCCTCCGTGATTACTTTCTCAATTTGTTTAGTGGCTATTTCAATTTGCCTTTCTGAATAAAAATTTTCCTGTTGCTCATCTTGTCTCCTTCCCACTTTCACTGCTCTTCCAAAACTTAGCTTGATACGTTTGTGATCACTACCCAGACTTCTGGAGCCACCTTCATCTATGTGCATTCCCCTGAGCTTATCATACATCATATGTGACATCAGTGCAAAATCTATCGTCGACTGCAGCCTTCCTACCTCCCATGTTATTTGCCCTTCACACTTCTCGGTACTGTTGCAAATGATCAAATAATGCCTTTCACACATATCCATGATCATTTTGCCTGTTGAGTCAGTATATCCATCTATATCTTCTATGTGCGCATTCATATCTCTTAGTATAATTATCTCGCACTCTCCTCATAATTCCTCAATGTCCTTTGATATACACTCCACCATTGCCTGGTTTTCCTCTTTGGCCTTTGCTCCCGTCCACAAGTACACCAAACCAAGGTGTGTCATCTGCCCAGCTACTTTCCCTCTTAACCATAAATGTTCCATGCAGCCCTGCTTGACTCTTTGCCAACTCATGCTCTTATGTATAAATGCACCAATTCCACCCCCCTTTTTGCTGCCTTCTGTTCTACTGCAATATTCCCATACATAGTCCGGATTGCAGGGTGGTTGCTCCATGTCCCGAAGATGTGTCTCCACAACCCCCTATACCATCAGCTCCTCCTGCCTCAACTGCTCTTCTATCTCTTCCCACTTTAACCTATTCCGGCCACCCTGCATGTTAATATAGCCTACGTCTGACTAAGCTCGGCCCTTCTGCTTACGTCGATTTCTTCTCCCACGGACTCCGTGTGACTTGAATATTTGTGCCCTTTTAGAACCGTCTTTGGCTACACTGTTGGCCTCAGGGCTCTGTATCCCCCTAAAAAAAGCTATGGCTTGGCGACCCATCCTGTTACCAACCCTCCTGCTTATCGCACCACTGTAGTGAATGCCATCCTGCGCAAAGGGGAGAGCGCCGGGCTCGTACACGTCTTGTTCATGTTTTTGCCAAGCGCCACACAGAGGGCGCTATCGACAAGCCAAAAGAAGAACGAGGCGAAACGCTCGCGCGCGTCTATGCTGCGTTTGACACTGTGAAACGCCAATGTTCAAAAAAAGGAACATCCGCACAAAACTCTCAAGCTGAAAACTAGATTGCCTTTGTTATTTTTTTATTGTTTTGCCGCGTAATCCTGAACTATTTGCCGATGTTTTAGTTTTGCTTTGCTCACTGCAACATTACTTTTTCCTGTGGAATAATGCAACAAACATCTGGTGGTCAAGGAGTGCAAAATATGCCTGTTTTTAAAAATTTATTAGGTTCATAATAGAAATTAAAATTGCTACGTTTTTCACAAGCGTCAACGAGTACGCATAAACAAAAAATTTTAATATGCGATATATTGGAGAGGAAATAAAAAATTAGGTTTCGTATGTTCCAATTTTAGAACATTGGCATGTAAAAGGAGAATGTCTGCAGCTCGCTATAATGCTATTCATCAGGCATCTAGTAGAGGAGACGGATTTGGCCCGATGTTTTAGCATGTTCCTCTAGGCAGTGTGCCTTCTTGACCAATGAAAGTGAACGGCAGCACCGCTCTTGTACTTAAGCAATCACAGTGCTTCAATAATGCCCCTTAAAGGGACACTAAAGGTCAACGTTGATTGTTGAAATATCGGTCCAGGAACCTCGTAGTTTTACTTTTGTGCAAGGAAGGGTCTATTTTGAAATAAAATCACGTTTTAGTAATCCGCATAGGGTTAGCGCACTTCAAATTACCCGTCTCAAGAAGCAGACTGACCAGACCAACTCACGTCACTGTTGCCTGTGAAAAACGTTGGCCTGCTTTCACTGCCCTAGTAGCAGCAGACAGAAAGCAGCGGGAGCCACAGCAGCCACAACGGCCATCGATCAATTTGTTGCCATCGGCTCCAAAATTTCAGACGTTTTTTGGTTCAACTGCGCCCTGCTAGATAGCACCACCTGTTCTGTGTAACTACACGAAAATTGAATTTGTGAACTACTCGCGTCATTCTCCATAGTAACGTCCGGCGGTTCTTCTTTCTATGATATAACAGAAACGAACAAGCAGCATTTTATTGCGTCTTTTGATGCACGGAAGGTTCTTTATTTAGTGCAGCTAGTTCGATTACTAGTCATTATTTGTACGCCGTCCATCTGATGTTATCGGGATCATTTTGAGAATGTCCTACTGCGGCGCATGTGTTTTTGTTTTCTTAATTTCTCAGTAAGCAGAGCACTGTTGTTGATAATATTGCTGTTTTAGGATATTGTCATACATCGAGCTTTCACTAACTGACGTAAATTGTTATTTGACTTTAGTGTCTCTTTAACAATCCTTGAGAGAGAAGTATGCGACTAGAATTTATACATCGTAGAGTTTGCTCCCACACTGTTTCAGCTAATGCTAATTGATAAATTGTCCTGCCGTCCATTTTTCAGATAATTCTATTGATAAACCTGTGTATGAAGGAACGAAACTGGTGCGGTATTTTTAGATTATCTTGGACTCCACTTAGATGTGTGATAATTGAAGGCGACTGTCTCGAGCACTCACCATCAAATCACCATCACCCGTCTCGAGCACTCACCATCAAATTAGTTGCCCCCATAAAACTTATTCTTTCAGCAGAGGATGGAATCGCCGTAACAGCTTTAAGCCGAGGCCTATTCAAGAACACCAGCCTAAAATATATTGTTGCGAAAAAAAAAGATGATATACATTATAAAGTGTAGCAGGATATCACAACCGAATGAAACAACTCTCACTCAGTGCATTGTGAACTATTACTAATAAACTCCCAACGAAAACAATAACTCTCACAAAAATGTGGAACATGCATGAAAAAAAAAAATGACAGCATATCCACGGGGTGAATGATGGAGAGTGGGGCGAAGCATCTGTCCATCTGTGCGTCCGCACGTCCATCCATGCGTCTGCCCCTGCGTTCGTCCATGCATCCGCCCCTGCGTCCACCCATCCGTGCATCTGTCCGTGCATCTGTCTGTGTGCCCGTTTGTCCATCTAGTCAACACTCCAAGTACCATCATCTCGCATCTTTTCATCATATATTCCGCATATAGAAGCACCGCCATCCAGCGGACATTCCAAGGACTAAACGAGAGGTGGCACACGCACACTTTCTTACGGCTTGCGCTTCGTGTCTACTTCCCACCTTTAGCCCCCTCGAGGTCATGGTATATACTAGTTCACTGTATTCATGGCACTGCGGCCCAACGCTCGCTAAACCTTTCTAAAACCAAGGAGGTTACGCCCAGCGAGTACAACGTAGCATCTCTTTCTTGTCAGATGGTGCTAAATGTACATGCTGATAGCTGCTGATGGTGAATGAGAGACAGGAGAATTCAGCTTTTAGTTAATGTGCACGCTGCGAATGTTTTATTGTTCAACAACGCACAGGAGAAATCTCCCACCGGCACCACCTTTCAGGTCAAAGCGTAAGACATGTTACGTGCTACGACTAGGGATGAATGGCTGCTACTTTAAGAAGCTTCGCCCCTAAAAAAAGCAATAAAAGCAGTCCCACTGCGAGAGATATATATATATAGTATGTTCTTGCACTTCCGAATTCGCTAAAATTGTGTATAAACTGCTCTAGCCCAATAGACGCAATAAGAGGGCACTTTTCTGCCCGACACATCATAACTGACAGATGAAAATAAGAACATTGCATGACTTGACTGAATAAGTTTTGCACGAAGGACACAGCAAGCAAATCACAGAACTTCGTAGCTGCACAGTTCGGTCAGCTCCTCGTGATCCAGGACAAAGCTGTAGGCCAGGGGATCAGTGACGTAGCTCTGTTTGACCCACTCCGATATGACTATTCCAGTCTGCAAAAACAGAGATGACAAAGCGTGCCATTGCGGTCAGTTTTTGGCAAGTTTATGCATGAAGAAACTGGCAATGCTATCTCACCGACAGTGCAAGGAAAAGATCTACAATTTAAGATTGTGTTTTACAAGTAACAAAGCTCCAGCATAGTGGCGCATACAGTACCTGGGAGGGGATACTGCTTTCGTGAAATCATACAGTTGACGGTTAAAAAAAAAATCGCGGCATATCCACAAAGCGAATGATGATAAGGGAGCGAAGCAGTAGGATCGTTCGGTATTACTGTAAATCACCTGTCATATTTACCACTCACGCATGTAAAGTGCAGGAGTTTATGTGTGAAAACCATAATACGATTATGAAGTAAGGCTAAACGGCAAACAGTGGACTAATTTGGATCACTTGTGGTTTTAGAACTTGCATTTAACATGCACTAATGTTTTGGATTTGATTCCTAAAAACCTTATGTGAAATCGATGCCATCTGTTGGTAGCTTGATGAAGCTATCGATGCGGCGCCATGATGAAGACTTGTGTACGAGTCGTACCGCGGTCACTGCTGTAGCTGCTTGCTAGCAGTACTTTCTTTCTAAGAACAGCAAACAATAACAAGGTGTTAGCCATAAGCAGTAGCTGGAGCACGGGAATACTGAGCTCCTTATTGTCAGCATTGAGCAAATATAACATTGAGGTTACTTTCCTGCAAACTTTCTTTTTAGTGCCCCGATTTTCGCTAGCTGTGCAACACATCGCACGAAAATGTCCTATCACTCCCCAAACAGCGATAAGTATGTTCCTTGCGGACACATGTGGAGCATGCTTAGCCTTCAACACGGCATAAACGTACAGGGCTGCCACCAGATCACGACAGAATTTGTATAATGTCTCCTGAAATACAGCCGCTATCACTTGGAATCAAACAGCATTGTACAGCATTGTACAGCAAAAAGCATTGTACATAGTAATGCAACAGCTGTGGGATCCAGACGTGGCAAGCGCCACCACGCTCTTGGAGTGAACGGACACAGAAGGCGCGGTCGGTACAAACCAAACAACAACATACATTTATTTAACTCATTTTAGAACGACGATATCGTCAGCCGAATTATTACACAACCAATCATGATCAACATGCCAAGACATCCTTACACAATATTAAACAACACGACAAAACATGACAAACACAATGACACACCTGAGGCTGTGTCACCAACGCTTGACTTATCACGAGGGCCCCCAACGCTCATCCCACGGTGCCACGCACCGGGGACCCACGCTAAAGACGACCGCTGACAACTCAAACAACTTTACAGGGGGGTGTCAGCACCCCACACAGTTTAGCTGCTAAGTCACCAAGGCAAGTGTGTCCCGGCAGCTCACAACTTTGTAGTTTTCTTCAATGCCCTCGCCTGTGCAGCTTCATTTCGCTATGGAGGTGCATACCGTTTCTTTGCCACAACAAAGTCCAGCGATGATTCTTCTGGATAGCGGCCCGACTGCCGAATCACAATCCGATTCAGTAAACGTCAGCCCGTTGTACAAGGCGTTACTATTTTAAGAATGTGCTATTAATTAGTCAGAATTAATCTCAAAAGTCATGAACTGGCAAGACGATGTTGACCGGAATCACAAGTACCTTTTGTCCCCAGTGTTTCCACTCAACGCCACTTCGTGCACTTATTTTTTTTTGTCTGTCAACTACACAGAGTTTATTTAAACACACAATTATTTAACTAGTTGTATAGGCTTTCTTTTAGAATTTATCTTGCTACTACTCACGAATAAACCACACGTGTGTAACAACACAAATTATTTTTTTTTGTCACGGCAAAAAATTTTAGACAGTCTTTTTTTCTTAAATCTGTTTGTCTGCAGAATTTAATTCAGTAATAAAAAAAAATGTGCAATTATGAAATGTATTTTGCAAAAAAAGAAAAAAAAAAATCGGCCCTTAACTGGTTAAAGTAGAAACTGCTGCTTAAATACAACAATTTTTTTTAATATGATTGGTTTCATGCTTGCATTCAGCACCCCTGTTTATCTCCCCGTAAACAGAACGCCTGTTAAATGGAGCATATTTATAGTATGGCGTTTCAGGTAAAGCCACAAAATAGCAGAAATCGCTTTTAGTCATGGAAACTGCTTCATACTGTTTAGCAAATGACCGTATGCACAGTTCTCAAGGATGCGGCAACCAACTGCTTAGAAGACGACTGTTGACACAAATGCTGCCGTACTAACAATACCAATCAGCAGTTACCAGTGATATGATCAGTATGGCAATGCGGCTATAAACACGGCAAGCTGGTTTTAAATTTCGGGCTAGAATACGTGCCGACTGTGAGGAGCCACCAGTCTTTCATGCAAAAACGCATCGTGATGTCTGGTGCACACTGACCTGGAGATTCTTGAGAGAGTCCTCGAGGCTAGGAACGGTGACGAGGATGGCTCCCTTCTTGATGGTGCGCCTCAGAAACTGCCACAGGGCCACCTGTTCTTGCTCGGGCGTGAAGAACTCAAACACATTGTTGAGGATGACAACGTCGGAGCTGGCGACAAGGTCAGGTACGGCAAGCACGTTTGCATTAATGACCTGCTCGGAAAAAACGGACAATGTAACCTGTGCACACTTACTTACTACAGCGAAAGCTCTTATGAAATCACAACGAGGGCTGCGTACCCTGCAGTTGTCTGTAATCACTATTGTGCTAATTACCTCTTTCGTTACCCCCACCAGTTCGAATCGATCGCCGGTGATCGACGCTTTTGGGTCATTGATTTTGGCATATTAAATTTTTTTGTCGTGCACCCAGAACTTTCTAGTAGTTAGTTCAGCCACTCAACTTTCAGAATTTTTTGAATTTGCCAACTTGGGTAACATAGATTTTACAGACTTTTACACGAACCAATGTGCGTGTGTAGTTGGAAAAATGCACTAGGTTGGCGAATTTGACAGAAGTGCGTGCCCCTCATAATTATGCTACAACAACATCGAAGTTCTGTAATGAAAAGCAACTTTGCAAGGCAAATATTGAATTGATGTGTTCGCTTCGAGTCGAGCAGTAATAATTGTCAGAAATTTATGCCAGCTAAATAATCAATAGAAAGCTGTCCGGGAAAATCAATCCTATAAAAAATATTTCCCAAGGTCCGCCGCATGTATAAAGTGTGCAGGTGGCTCTCACAGCCAGTTTCCAGCCACTTTGGTTTTGCTTGTATCATTATATCATACATAGGGTCACATCCAGTGTCACTAGTCGCTCCTATTACACGGTTGTCACACGCGCATGGGTGCGCATCAGCGCTGCAAAACGCATGCGCTGCTTGAAACTGTCTTGCGACTCCACCTGAATTGAGTGAGAACGAGCTGAGATTTTGTGGATGACAGCACCTCAGCTTCAAGTTTTATGCAGATGATGTTTTGCATCAGCCTGAGACACCCGTAGCCATTCATGAGTTTGTTTTGTTACATCCTCAAGTTATCTCATGCGCCGCAAGTGCATGTAGCTTCTGACCTTCATGCATAATCTTATAGCTACTCAGGTTACGTGCGTGGTCCACACTTCGCAAGGGTGCAGTGTGGTGGCGCTGGCTGCAGAGCTTCTCCTAATGGCAAGAAGGCCCCCAGAACACATCTTGGCCCTGACCATGGAACAGTGCGAAACATTTTAGAACTTCGTATGATATTGTTCTTTTTTTATAACAATATGCGCAAAGATGCAAATAAATATGCTTAGTTGCATATATTGGAATGCCAACCTATGCGGAGTGAGGCGACTCATTGAAAGAGGCAACGCTAGATGAAATAGCGAAGTTCATTGGACATCTTGTTTATAAAGGGATTGTTCACATCACTGGTATTCATAAATATTGGAATACCTCAAGACTGTTATCGCAAGGCAATAAAAGTTCAATGAGAAGAGTGTACGTGTACACTTGTGTCTCACCTCGGTTCTGATTTTCTTTGTCTATGTGAAGAGAACCATATTGTACATCATTAATTATTTTTACACTGTTGCTGCGTCATTTATGTACTAAATGTATATTCTGCATTTTCTTAGTTTTAAATATTTTTGCATATATAGTGTTTTTTTACTCCACTGTTTACCAGCTGGTTACGCCTCGCCGCGGTGGTCTAGTGGCTAAGGTACTCGGCTGCTGACCCGCAGTTCGCGAGATCAAATCCCCAGCTGCGGGGACTGCATTTCCGATGGAGGTGGAAATGTCGTAGGCCCGTGTGCTCAGATTCGAGTGCACGTTAAGAACTCCAGGTGGTCGAAATTTCCGGAGCCCTCCATTACGGCGTCTCTCATAATCATATGGTGGTTTTGGGATGTTAAACTCCACATATAAATCAATACCAGCTGGTGACAAAAAATTTTACTTTCCACATTTTCATTCATTCTAAAATATTTTTGCTGCTATACAATCTATATTTTTTGAAAAGAGCATTTTATTCTACAAAGTTTGATATGCTGCAATGTGTGCTGGTGGCATTTTTAAAACTGGCAAAAACGATCTTCCCGAGACGTATGAAAAACAACCATTCTCATGCGATAATGAAAGAGTTAAGAAAAAAACTTAGTAAATAAAAAGCACCAAGGACACAACGAGATTCGAACACGTATCCCCTGCGTGCCAGTCCAGTGTTATACAACAAAGCCACACCAGTTTTTGAAACTCCGTTGCAAACTGTCATTAGGCAGGCTTGACGTCGGGAAAGTAATCGTGTCAACACGAGTAAAAAAGTGTTTTAGAACAGCAAAGCAACAACCAGGCATCACACAATGTTAATTGCATAATTAGTGGGTCGACCAAAACTCCAACCACACTACAAAAGCTTCAGGCATAATTCTTCGTCATCAGCCAGAGCATAAAAGAAATTGCACGAAAATTCCTTCCAAGGGGGTACCACTCTTCTCCTAAGAATGACAAAGGATGGCATAGTGAATGCTTCCATATTACACAAAAATTATGGCACAGTGGGTGCCCTACAAGTGTGCCTGTAGCAGTTACCCTAAGAATGTTTAAAACAGGTCACTCTTCAATATTTCGCTGTGACTATGCTGTGCATTCCACGCAGGCCTGGTGATCTTTTAGTTATCCAAATCAATAAAAAAGAAAGAGCAATTCTTAACATTATTTAGTGGAAGAATCAAAGATTAAGTGGCTCACTCATTATCCACCATAGCAAGCAAAAATGGAGTGTTGTCAAGCAAATAGTAAGTGAAGCCAATGATGTTATTTTAAATTGAAATGTAGAAATATTCACAGGAAGGAGAATCAGTAAAATGAACAATAATAGTAATATGTGGGGTTCGCTATATCGAAACTGTGCAAGAGATCAGTTACGTAGGGCAGAGATGTGCTCAATCCCTCCATTGCCTCCCCTATTTGTGAGAGGTTTCGGAAGGATGGGGTGCATACCTCTACAGCCCCAATTACTGTCTGTAGTTGGTTAAAAACATGTAGTACACTGCTTTAATAAGCATTGTGAAAATTTTCATCACTACTGTGATTGACTTATATTGCATTAATGTGCAGTTAGTTTGACTGTTTGAGTAGGTACTATATGGCTTTCATAAGTGTTGCTGCCTTTCTCTCACACACAAACACACACAGAACAAATACAGTAAAACAATTATATGAACTCGGTTTAGCTGACACTCGCCTTGATCCTGTCTTCCATCTGGAAATGCTTGATGGCAGTTTCCTGAATTTGGCACAGGTCAGGATTCATCTCGACACCAATAATTGGATTCGCTGGCGTGAATGCATGGGCCTGGAAGTACAGCACAGCACCAGTACGTGAATGTGCCCAAGTCGTAAGTGCAGCTGAACGTACAGGGTCTGTCAAAAGCTCCCAGGACACGCTGCAGGAATGCAAGGAATAGTAGCTTGGGAATTTTTCGCAGACTATGCACACGTATAAATGCATATACATGCACACCACTTACTCCCAAGACAAGAAATAAAGCTAGTTAGTAGGAACACTTTCTCGAAAAGCACATATTTTCTAAGTTGTGGAGAACCTACCAGAAGCATCTTGCAGAGAAACAGACGACACTTCACAAGTATCACGGTTTTGAAAGATTTGTAAGATATTTTGATTTGAAACCAAGTTAGTTTGCACATGTAAATTTGGTGTTATCATCTAAATGCGATATCACGGAGCAAAATTCAAATTTATGGAAAATATGATGACCATCCCCCCTGAACCTCGATAAATGAAAAATAAAGAAAAACTGAAGTAAGGTTAATGTTTTTTCCACCTGCTGTTGCCTTTGGCATCTGTAGCATAAATGAAACTAGCAGTTGTGCGTATAAAAGTTTTAAAAAGCCTTTTCAGCAATAAAAGTGAGGTCAGTAGATTTCAAACTTTCTGTGCTTAGTCATGAACACCTGTCGGCAATGTAGCATGACGGCAGCCGAGCAGGGTAGTGCGATGGCTGCTATAAATATGACGAGGAAGCATTGTGACACTGTTTGCAGACCTTTGCTACAGGTTGCGACAGAAAGCGATGAGCTATTTTTTAAAAAGAACATTGTTCTTTTAATTTATTAACCGAACAGAGGCACCCCAAGCATTCCGAATTTCTTAAAATAGTATGAACTTTCTCCCCAGGTTGTCCTGCAAGTCTCGCATTTACATCACATATATTTTTTTTTCCTCTGGACATTCACAACAAGGACCTAGTACAAAGTTTGGACTCCCTATGCATCAACATTTTCTCCATGAGAAATAAGAACTTGGGCTTTATTATGGTGCTGTTAGGTTGTCACTATCACCAGTGAATGTTAAAGCAGATAGAGAAAAAAAGATATAAAATAAAGGTGCACAGAGTGAAATAGTACTGCAGTTCCACACGACACTTACAGCGTAGAGCATAACACCCAGCCTGGAGCCCACATCAAGTACAGATTTGTCCTTCAGGTAAGGCACCATCTCCCTGAAAATGAACTCCGCTCTGCGAGCCGACGCAGAGTGCGAAATAAACGCTGCAACAGACAAAAACAGGGCAATACGTATGTTTTTCTACTTCACACTAACTTGCACTTTTACATAGACAGTCCCCTGATTAGCAGTCCACTTTAAAAAGTCCCGACTTTTGAAAAATCCATTAGATAGAAAAAAAAAAGTGCCGCCATATCCACGAAGTGAATGATGATGAGTGGGCGAAGCTCTGGAGGTAAATCTGGCAAACCATGAATCCTCCGTACATTTTGCCTACTCGATTTTATTACAACGCTCCCCCTAGCGTACGTCGCCGCACTAAATCGAACGATTGCCTTCCACCAATGACACGCGCCATATGTGACATCATTCCTATTTTATAACATCTCGCATCTTTCATCATCAACTACAAATACCACCGTCTAGTTTATAACATCTTGCATCTTTTCATCATCAGCTACAGGTACCGCCATCTAATGAACACTGCAAGAACTAAACGAGAGGTAGCTACATACAGGGGTCGCACAGCCCACGCCTTAAGGAGCTTCGCCCCTAAAAGACCACGCAGCATACATGGCCATACATCCATAGATGTGAGCACAGAGGGGGATGGGCAGGGCAGTGCCCTTCGAACCATCTGAAAGAGGTGGCGATTCCGTTCCATATATTTCTCAGTCAGACTTTTCATGCCATTTTGCACTGGGTTATGACTATGCATGTTTTCAGACGGTAATAGTGTGACAATGACGACCAAGGACGCACGATGCTGCATTCAAGGAACTGTTTACTTCCTGCTTTTACCCTGGAAATCCGGGCACCAATGGCAGGCCTTTGTCAGATAAGCACATCGTCGCAATTTTTTCATACATTGTGGAGCTCATTTTTTTGTTGTACTTGACCAACCAGGGCAGGAGGTGGGGGGATGCGGTTAAAGTTGCCCCCCCCCCCCCCCCATAATGGAGAAGGCTGTGCATTCCTATAGTCTTCTGTATTACAATTGGAAGTTATTTTTGGTCCAGACGGCACAATCAATGCAGGGAAAAAACAAAAAGCACACAACATATGTGACCACGTATCGATTCATCACTCACTGTTACGTCACTTACTCAGGGGGGCCGTGTCGTGAGAACCACAAGCTTTGCAGTAGCTCCGGCTCAGTCTTCCTTGCTCAACCAACTCGTCAATGGCTTCGTCATCGTAAAGGAATGCATCAACATGAACTGTCGTTGCTGGATCACAGTCTGCATTCTAGAAGATAAAAGATACGTGGTGCAAGTTGTGTAAAGTCGAAAGTTAGTTTTTCTGTGGGATAAACTCGAACTGCACTTGTGAACTCCCACATATGTTGCACAGCTTTCATTTCAATAGCCAATAGATTGTGAACACAACTTGGCGAGCCATAAAACACACAGTAATTAGAGATGATTAAAAACAGTGCTTTGAAACCATGGGATGTCATTTTGACAGCACTCCAACTTGAAAGCTCAACAAGAATAACAAAGAGAGGCATACAACACAAGTACATAAATCTGTCCTTTTGGTTTTATTTCTGTAATCTGTGTTGTTTATCTGAGTCATTATAATATTAAACATAGGCCACTTACTCGTGATGTCATCATGTGTCATATGTCAGTAAAGTAAGTATGCAGGAAAAAACACAAGGTATTGATTTCCCATAAACGAAGACAATTTAATCTGACAGCCTCAGTGAAATTTTTCTTTAATAAAAAGAACTGGGGGCTCTTGAGAATAATTCAAATTCCGAGATACCACATCGAACACACATGGGCGGCACCAGGAGTTTTGTTTTCTGGGGGGGGGAGAGGCACTTATGAAAATTGCATACCTTCGTGGGGACAGAGAGGCACAGAACTTATACGTTGTGTTTTAACTATGCTTGCTCTTGAGAGGGCAGGGGGGGGGGGGGGGGGGCAAGCAATTCTGCGTGCAAAAGCTCCAGCCCACCAGTGCCCCCCTCCCCCCTTGGCGCCGCTCCTGAATAATACATTCGGCCATTTGGGAGGAAGAAAAGGAAAAAAAAAGGAACAAGAATGAAAATATTTACATTTATGCGTCACAAGCGAAGAATAGAATTCAAGCAAAAGAATTGCTACAGAATGCACCCTTATAATGTTTTTACCATATGACCACAGTTTCCTCCTGTGGTCGTATCATCATGTACTTTTTCTTCTCACAGGCTTTTTGGCACGCGTTTCATAACTTCAGATACTGGTATTCAATCTTGTCTTCATGTAATATTGCACCACATCACAACAAACTCCGATGGGGGAAGTTCATGCCTGGTGTTGTCACGTTTTACAAGTTTGCACAAATGCCCTAGCAGCAAGAATCATGAAACGTCAACCTGGCTTCATCTACAGACCTTCCAAATTCCATTATGCTTGACACACCCACGTAACAGGTGGGGCTGAGCCAAGTGAAATTGATGGTGCTGCATATGAGAGGCCAAGATGTGTGTATAATGCTCATTCCACAAAAAAAAAAAAAAATCATACATATTGCTTTACCTCTCCCTGCTTTGGCACAAGTATGCTTTCTGAAGGAAAAACTGCATTTACAGGCACCATGGTTCTGAGGTACTCGGCAATCTGTCTCATCTTGTGGTGGGCTTCGGCGACTTGGTGGCCTGCACAGTCTGTAAATCGAACAAGCAAAATTAACTTCCGCACAAACAAGCGAATCTGAACACATTAACAACAAGTACATCGAAAGAATACGGGTACGTAGGGTACGTTAGGCCCTTACGATCGCGATACAGCTAATATAATGAAAACTGTGGAGGCTTGCCAAGTTTGGCGCCGGCAGCAAACGCCACATTACTGCCAAAACTTTCAGCAGATTCCTTCATAAAATGTTAATTATCATCTAGTGATTGCTTAATGTCCCCAAAAGAGCTTGAAAGCTACGACAAGGTTAGTTTGGTCCCGGTTAACTTTGACGACACGAATTTAAGTAGGCCGAAACATCGGTGCGCGATCGTTTCTTTGCGTGGAGCCTCCACCGAAATGCGACCACCAAATTCGGGAATGGAACAGTTTACCTTGTGCTCAGGAGCATAATACCAAAGCAACATCAACATGCAGCGCCTCCTAGATCGATATGAAGTGAGACCGATTACTAAAGCACCGTGTGACGCGCCTTTCACCTGTCCACAGCATAACACATATACTTGGCCGGCCTACCTATTACACAAAGCGAAGTTTTAGAAATAGAACCCAGCAAAAACAGTTTGCTCGGATGAATTTCGCGGATGAATAAGCGTGAAGCGCGCTAGTTATCCTGACAAAACACACTTCAGTTCCACTTTCGTTAAGACATTAGCGTAACATTCCATTCTGACGACTCACTTGCCATCAGATACCTTCTCTGTATCCAAAGTATGAACTCTGCCGATTTCGCAGGGTCGATTTGCTGGAGCAGCTTCTCGAACTCGTCTTTCGCCTGCTCGATATCCATCTTGCCTGCCGGTCAAGGATGTCCCGCCCAACACGACACGAGTCGGTGAATAACAAATGGCAGGCAAGTCACGTTGGCTTATGTTTCCTGTGATCAACTATCTGTGCTGGTGATCTCAGATGGTACCGTAGCTCAATAAGCAAACACGATATTCACAAATGTTCGACGGTGAGGCAGGCGTTCTGTGTACGGTTTGTTCTCTGACCTCGTTGCTAACTATAAATTACCGCTTCTCTATTACTAAATGGGCTGCCTGGATCAATGATTAATTTCAGCAGTAATGATAGTGTGGTAACATGCGCTAGGAAGCAAACAAAAACCGTTTGCATGTTTAACCTAGCGGAGATCAATGGCGTTACTAGCATCATAGCTCCACAACATGTAAGTTGTAGTCACGTGATACAGCCGGTGGTTCTGGTGGGTTTTAGTGATCGCTAGTAGCGGCTTGCATGTGGCGGGCTTCTGCTTTTTTCTTTATCGCGATTATAGTGTAGATTTGGGCCGCGCTGCCTGGATGCTGTGTATTCGGTGAAATGTTTCGACGCGTGGTCACAGGTGTGAGCATTTTCGGCGGTGGCGTGGCAGCTTTTGTGGTCTGCAGTGAGCAAGCGAAGAAGCGTACCGTGCAAGCATCGTGGACTACGAACTTCGAGCCCACCGTTCAGTGGGACAGTAACTGGGACAAGTAAGCGCGGCCTTGCCGAAGGCGGGGGTTCGCTTCAACTCTTACTTGCGCTTCATTGCGTTTCTTGCTTTGTTACATTTCTTATACTTTTGCAAATGCCGTGGAAAAGTGATGTCTCGTGTAATCGAACGTAACCCTCGAAATGTTAATTTACCGTAGACGTGGGCCTATTGTTTAAAAAGACTGATTGGCTGATCTACTGACGCGACAAGCTTGCCGTGCCACTGGAAGCATTGAGTTACACTGGAATGAATCTCTGCGCACGTCTATACTTGATTCAAGATTCGCTTGTAGTTGTTTCCGCCCATTTTTCCGATCACGAAGTTAGTAGCGAACATTCATCGGCCAGCGCTGTCGGACAATCGACAATTACTCATGTGGAGACAAGCTGTCATGCTCCTTCATTCAAGTTTCGTCGCCCATTGTCGAACCTGTAGCTGTTTTTTTTTTTTCTTCCTGCGCGAATGAGGCTGTCGCGCATGCGCGAGGGATATGTCAATCTAAGAAGCAGCAACTCCAAGCCGTCGGGTGTGCGTAACGTTTAGCAATTGGTGAAAATGGTTTGAAAGCGCTAAGTAACGATGCATGTACGCTGTTCATCGGTGAAAGTGACGGTTCACCCAAATGGTTGAGATGCGCGATTAACAGAACGAGGATCAACACTCTTCATATATTTTTTTTTTACATGGCAAGGAATGACAAAATGAAGTTCTTACAAGTCGTGAATTGTTTTTCACGACAAGCATGCTGTATGATGGAGAAATGACTATTTTTGTGGAGTACTGAACAGTAGCGCCGTATTGACTTCGTTTTTTGTTTTTGTCTTTCCAGGAGGGAGCCCGAGTGTTGCACGAAACCTCCCAAGAATTCATCGGAGAAGGAGCAGAATCGCTACAACGAGGAACTGCAGAAAGCAAAGCCGACAGCAACACGATACCTTTACATAATTCGACATGGCCAATACAATATGCGAGGAGAGTCGGATAAAGACTTCACTTTGACAGAATTGGGTAAGTGACATTATTTTGGTGTTCCTGTCATGTTTTCGTAAACATTGAATGAGACAGGTGTATGAAAGAAACATTTCTTATGCAACATGAACTTGCATGGCTTGTCAATGAATCGTGAAAACTAGTTGCACAAAATGAGCGCTACTGGGAAATATTGCGTGAGACGATAGCTAAGCTATACTTGGTAAGGTAAGGTAAACACTGCGAAGAAAAGTATGTGTTGAAAGCCAAATCTTTACGTTAAAACCTGATATCAACTAGAAAGATATTGATGGTCACCTTTTTTTTAACTTTAAAGGAGCACTGACATCAAATTTCAAGATCGAGAAAGCCAAATCTTTACATTAAAACCTGATATCAACTAGAAAGATATTGATGGTCACCTTTTTTTTAACTTTAAAGGAGCACTGACATCAAATTTCAAGATCGAGATGTGCCCATTTTTCGATTGCTTGCTATGCATAGGTCTTGGCCAAATTTGAATGGCGTCCGTCGCGTGCAAGTTATTTTAATTCGATGTCAAACAGCATAGAAAAGCAAAAAAGAAAAACGAAAAATATACTGCCCTGCGACATCGACACTAGTGCTACATGTTCGGTGTGATACATTCCACAAATACCATACTGATGACGATGCCCTAGTAGCGATGACGTGTACGATCCCAGTGTTCTTATCTAGCGCCAAAGCGCAGGAACGCACTCGCTCGTCGCGTCTGATCTTTGTTGCGCCAGTTTTAGTGGTTTTGTAAAATTATCAAGATGAAAACCACCTTTAGAAGAATAAAAGAGCATGAATAAACGTGTGCTTGTCGGTCAGCATGTCGGGAAATCGTTGTGAGTTGCAGGTGGGTTGCAGGCGTCTAGTTCGAAGCACGGAAAAAGAGCAATGAGGGTGTCCTTTCATATCACGTATGTGTTACACATCAACACGACCGTAAGCTATGAAAAGTGGAACAGCGTGTAGTCGGATATCATCGCTAACAAGTAACACGCAGGTATCGTTGAATTTTAGTTAATCTGTAGACTGTGCGTCCACGTAAAAGTGGTAATACCGTGTTAACCACGAGAGGCTGGGTAGGTGGGGTCATCTGGAGGCACAATAAAGAACCTGACAAGCAGGAAACGTTTTCTACTTCTCCGCTGATGCTCATTCACGATAGCTATATTGCATTGACCCCTCTGCGTATACCTGAATGCCAAAACACGCCAAAATAGCTGAGACACACGAGCGAACATGGAAGCGTGCATCCTCAGGCACCTCTGCAGTGCTGCTTGGAACGGCATCCATTTCGAAATCACTGTTCTGCAAGAGGTCGATCGAAGCAAACATAATTCGCGACTTCGCGAATCGCGGGTATTCCAAGCTCCAGACTATCGTATTGAACCCGAGTCGACACTTTGTACGGTGACGACAGCAATGTAGGTGACAAGGCATGACTGAATGTGTCCGCCTAGCAGACGAAATGTTTGTGGAGCAGCTGAGCCTGACGTCACTCTTTTCTGTGGGGAAGTGGTCAGCTGTGGCGTTATCTGGAGGTGACCGCGAGGTAGCGCCCCTGCTGGTGCTCCCAGCACAAAAAATGGCGGGATTGCGTGCCATTTTTGAATAGTTCTATATCCCAGTAATATAAATCAATAAAAGAGATAGTTATTTATCCCTCAATCGCGTTTTAGGTCGTGAATCATTGCTACGAAGTCTATAACTACTCGATGATGCAAAAATCTTGGCATGAGTAAATGTGATGTCAGCGCTCCTTTAACCTCATGAAGCCAACATAAGATGAAAACAGTAAACACCCTTGAGCACTTGTCTTCAATTGAAAAGGAAATTCAAATGTATGAAAAGGTTACTTGACTACAATGACAGCCAAACCTACTCGTTATGCATTACACACAAAATTTTTTAGAAATAAATTGCAGTGGCAGCTGTTCTCCTCTTTATGTGTATCTTAAAAAGCATTTCTTGTTAGGAGAGTTGATACATTGTTACTCTACAAAGAAAAAGCAAAAAAAAAAATGTGGAGATATGCAAAAAAGAGGCAGAAAATAGTGATACAGAGGTGGTTACAAAATGATGTTTAATATTGACAACAAAAAGAAAAAACCCTCTCCTCACAAGTTCGTAACAAACATGCATATGCCCAAGTGTGTCCCTTGGCTGAACAGCCGTGCTCATGACTGTCACCATTGTTCAAGAAACCGACTTTCTCTCTTGATGGAAAACACAGAAGGAGCATGCGTGAATCTGCTAGATCTAGCTCTAGGAATATTTGCCAGTGCCCCTCATGGCTTCATTGGTGGATATGGAAATTTTTTTCAGGTTCCACATAGTACTATGTAAACTTGTACCTTAATTTTTTTCCAAACTTTCTTTTCCTTGACGCTCTGTTGCAGGCCGTAAGCAGGCAGATGCGACAGGTCAGCGGTTGAAGGAGTTGGGAGTCCCTTTCTCGCGACTCGTTCACTCGACCATGACACGGGCTATCGAAACAGCCGAGATAATTCACAAGCACCTGCAACCTCTTCCGATTGAATCTTGCGAGCTGATTCGGGAGGGGGCACCTATTCCTCCCGAACCGCCTTACGGAACCTGGAGACCAGAAGCCAAGGTGGTTGCAGGTGTTCTCAGCATGCACTTGTATGAGCTTATTCAATGTGATGCAAATGGTTGTGCACTAAATTGTTGATTAATTACTGTACAGTTATAAATGCTGACTTGAAGAAATATAGCCCCGCCGCGGTGGTCTAGTTGCTAAGGTACTCGGCTGCTGACGCGCAGGTCGCGGGTTCGAATCCCGGCTGCATTTCCGATGGAGGCGGAAATGTTGTAGGCTCGTGTGCTCAGATTTGTGTGCACGTTAAAGAACCCTAGGTGGTCGAAATTTCCGGAGCCCTCCACTACGGCGCCTATCATAATCATATGGTGGTTTTGGGACCTCAAACTCCACATATCAATCAAATCAAATGAAGAGATATAAACTTTCTACAGTATGGACTTTGCAAAAAGCTCCACTTTTATCAAATTTATTCGCAGTTCACTGTGACTGAAGGGAGCATTTAATTCTGAAAACTTGCACGACGCAGAATTTCAGACACTTTTGTAAAGTGTCTAAAATTCTTCCCAAACAACCTTGCTGCGGGTTAGCCTTAGATTCCCTGCAATTTTCTGCGATAAATCAGTGTAAGAGCCCATGCTGTTCTGGCATTGATAATGATTCAATGTAGTAACAGTACCAGAAGTGCTACTCTTAAAACTGTACAAGCAGAATTTTCAATTTTTCTTGGGCCTTTTTTTTTTTCACTGTCTAGCACTCTTATTTTGTTGAAGACTTACTGCGAACGAACCAGCCTATGCTCCCACTTTAACAATTTGAATTGTGAGAACTCTTGAAATATGCACTTCCTGGTTGGAGCCTCGTGTTCATTTCGAAGCAGCGAGAAAGACGAAACACACACAAGAAGACTGAAGAACACGGCTGTCATGCCGTTGAGTCTTCTGTGTGTTTTGTATTTTGTGTTATTTCAGAATTAACCTAAACCGACTAACTAGCCCTACTCTCCCTTTTGCTGAAGCCTTATGATTGAAGCTCTGCCTTTGTAGTGAAAATATTGTGTACAGCTCCAGTAAAAGATTGTCTTGACTACTGGCATTTCCTTTATTCATGCCCGTGTCTGCTCCTTGTCTTAACTGACAGTTTGACTGTGTGAAGGAAAGTGGCTCTTCCTTTGTGTTGGTCATGGCGCACTTTGTGTAGGGTATGTTTTTCTGCATTAGTGCAATCTTTTATTGCACCTCGACTTTACTTGGTGCCCTCGCCTCTTTTCAGCCCTGCCTGCCTCATCTATTTAGGTGCATGTTTCAGCAGAGGGAACTGACTAAGGGGCCGACCTGGGTCGCTAGTTTTTTACAGATGGTGCGAGGATAGAAGCCGGTTTTCGCAAGTACTTCTACCGTGCATCTCCTAGTCAAAAGGAGGACTCCCACGAGATCATCGTTTGCCATGCCAACGTCATTCGATATTGGATATGCAGGTGTGTATGTGTTCCCTTAGACGGCTAGTCTAACACACGGCGAGATGCGCCCTCCGAGCGATGGAGACGGGCCAGCTCATTTGCTCTCTGCTTGAGCAGCGCTTGTCGTCCTCGCTTGCCCGCTTTTATACAGGGGTAGAACGTACGATGCGCGGGGATGGTATCAACTTAGACTTTGCATGAAACATGACGGCGATGGCGAAAACCCGCAGAGTGCGTCCATGCAAATGCTATCGTAATAAAAATATTTTCCGTGCCATCGCCCAGTAACGGTGCGGCAACGAGCACATTGCTTATCCATTTTCCTCGCGGTTCTCTTGTTCGCTGTGGTGCTTGCATGACTGGATCATAAGTTTTTAATTAAAAATTCATTTGTGTTGTGACTTACTGGGTTTGAAATGGTCACTTTTGTTAGCTTTTTTCCAGTATTCAGTTGCTGTTCATGTGAGATGCTATGTTTTGTTGACATTTTTAATATTTGAACATTTTAATAGCAATATCTTACATTCGTCTGAGGTCTAGTAACTATCCAAAGCATCGCCTATTCCTTGTTTCTTTGAGTTACTGCTCTTTCAGCTTTGATGTTTTAATGTTTAGTATGCACACACACACACACGCGTGCGCGCACGTAATGCCACGTTTCATTTTTGAAGTTTTGTTATCGTCCCACAACACTACACAATTCTCAGTGCAAACCGCACCTGCAGCTTTTTCGAGAAGCTTCCGGATGACTGTAGTAAATCATTTCGATAAGATCACGCCTACTCTGCGAACTGTACAGATTATTCTGGAACCTACGCCACCGCCAGCGATAACGCTGGAACATTCGACGGCAAGAGTATAAATGCCGACGCGCTTCGCCGCTTGTCAGTAGTTGATCGACGGCCGACGCTCCAATCACTGCTATCTGTGCAAGACTGCTACTGTAATCGAACTTTCTGTTTAGCTGGCACAGGTTTGCCCAAATAAACAGTTAAATCCCAACATAAAGTCTCATTTCTTCGGCCACGTCAGGACCCCGTGACATCATATATATATATATATATATATATATATACTATTTTGTGGTAAGTCAGGTCGCTTCATTAGTATTGAATGTTTATTGAAAGCCACTGCAATTTTTTGTGATCAAGAAGGGAAAAGTATTTAGTGATGAATAACACTTGAAATCTGTTCCAAAACTAACTGCATTGCTCCAAAATACAACTACTGATGCTTCAAAGCTGCTCTTAAACTTCCTTTTGTACCGCTCCAGAGCTGCTCTTAAGTCGCATTGTTCCTGCTTCTTACGCTGCTCTAAAAAAAAAGGAAGCCCGCTTCCACTCCTGATATAGTATATTGCGGTTTCGACATGTAAAGATCACAAAATCCAACACTCTTCTTTTGCACCAGTGCAAAGATCTGTGTCTTTTCTCCTGATTCCAGGGCTCTGCAGTTCCCACCCGAGGCTTGGTCTCGCATATCTCTGGCCAACTGCAGCATCTCTCTCGTGAGGATCCCTCCTTCGGGCCGAGTGTCCCTTCGGTCACTTGGTGACACGGGCCACTTCCCCCAGGAAATGATTACGACCAGCTAGTCGTTTGACCAGTTAGGGCCAGAGTTGTTTTGCGGTTGTGTTTTGAGGCCCCTGTGGTGTTGCACTCAGTCTATGTATAACGAAGTTGACTCGTATAGTTTTTCTTACGTTCTCATTTTTGGACCACTAATGTGGTATTGAAATTTATATATATATATATCTTAGCAATGACGCTCAGCTGTATGTTTATACGTGGGAAACGTATTTTTCCATAATAAAGTAGAACTGAATGTGTACTCATGTATAGGCTTGCGCTTTTAATTACTCCAATCTGTCCTCAGTTTGTGCATTTATGTGCAAGTAGCACAGAAGTTGTTCAAGAAAGTCGTCTTCTTATGATACTCGCTAATTGTCTCTTGACAACAATGTTTTTTATGCAAGCACTGGTGAAAACTTCGCCTAAATCAGTTTCCGTGGCATGCAATCTGCATAACATTCTCTCTCTCTTTTTTTCTTTTAAGGGACTGTGATGGGCAATGTGTTTGAGCAAGTGAGGGCGGCCTGAAAAATTTAGTAAAATGCAGACTCTATGGATTGCGTGCAATGCTGAGACTGATCATAAATTATGGCCAACTCTTTTGGACTAGGTGGCCAGCTTTATCCACTTAATTGTTTTTTTTTTCCTAAGCAGTTTCAAGCTTTTCCAGTGTGGCTGTGTGATAGAACATTTGACTGCCATACAGAATTCTTAGCTCTGATCCAGCTTGGTCTCGGTCTCCAATATGGACCTATTATATATTCGTTTTTGATTATCAGATAATTTGGACACATAGTAGTCCGATCAGAGAGCGCAGGAATGATATGGTGAATACGTATATGAAGGAGATAAAAAATGGTGTAATTACAGAGATAGGATCAATGTTTGGCAAAACCCTTATTATAATGTCAATTTGATTATCCAATTCTATTTGGCTATAGTACAAGGAGAATACATGTACTCATAAGGTAAAGTGGTGGAATGTAGTTCATGTCAATAGCTGCAATAGAAAGGGTTAGTCTAGGGATAAATTGTTAGTGTAAAGCAGTTTAAGGAATTTCAATCTCTACTCAGTTTCATTCTATATGCATATTTTATTGAGATTCTTCTCTAGAGGACAACGTCCTAAGAGGTGGCTGATGGGGCACATTGAATACTTGAACATTACAGTATTCCTATTCGCTTAGACAAATGTAGGTCCTTCGAAGGATATGCATAATTGAACACATATAACCCTCCCGTGAAGCTGTTTGAATACAAAAATACGCATGCATATTGTAATTTAGTTCCAATGAAGGCGTTATAGCATAGCACTTACGCAGCAAATGGGGTTTTGGAATTATCACTAAGGGACACCACTAAGGATGGGTGAATGTTCTGGTGGGTTGAATAGTTGAATGAACATTACAGCATACGAAATGACGAGATATTTGCATAATTGAGCTGATATAACCCTCCTGTGAAGGTGGTTTTGCTGTAGTGCAGAGTTTGCTATGCTGTAAAACCACCCATCCAGCATAAATCTGCACCTACTTCTCAATCAAGTTTAAAAGTGTTATGTGGGCTTATATGCACCAAGTTTGGTAATTAAAACTTAGTGTACCAGTTTTTACACACTACTAATTTGCATGCTACTGTTATACAGGCCTAAGTGCACTAAGTATGGTAATTTTTAAAACTTTGCTTGCAGCTTATTAGAACAAAAATAAGACATTCACACAGGCTTGGTTCTAATTTTTGTAAAAATGCCCATTTTTAATATGCAATATATACTATTAAAAGGATCCAGTACGAAATTATTCAACTTGAATGTAAACATTTGACAGAAGTCTGTCTGGTTGGGTATGAAACTGGGAGATGTTTTAGACTCCAACCAAAAAGTTTTTGCTACGTAGTCCTCAATATGTCGGGTTTCCTCAAAACTTTTGGTTGGAGTCTAAATCATCTCCCAGAAATTGTTCAACGTATTGGCCTATCCATAGGCAGTAGCATTGACACTGCATATCAAATTTTTAAACCTTCCCATATTTGCTTCTTAGACTCCAACCAAAAGTTTTTGCTACGTAGTCCTGCAGTCACCTCCGAGGAAGGAACCAAGTCTGTTTCAATATGTCGGGTTTCCTCAAAACTTTTGGTTGGAGTCTAAATCATCTCCCAGAAATTGTTCAACGTATTGGCCTATCCATAGGCAGTAGCATTGACACTGCATATCAAATTTTTAAACCTTCCCATATTTGCTTCTTGAATTTAACCAAAGCCATATATGAGTGCCCTGAAAGAATGAGAGAGCAGTGTGGCTCAATAAATATTGAAACACCCAACATGGGTAGAAACATCTGTTTAATAAGAAGGTTTTATCTCAAACTCTCAGTCATTGCTGTTGAACATATTTGCAGGTTTATGACGACTTTCAGTTCAAGTTGTGGAGACATGGCATTTCTATGCGCTCAACTGTACAGACTTAAACAATGGAGCCAATTTTGTTTAGTGTCATGTTCTGGCTTGTTCACTTTTATGAAAGAATAAGCAATATGAAATAATTTTATTCAACATTATCACAAACAATAAAAGTGAGGTACCAGCCCAAAAAAACACAAAAGCACGCAATTAACATTTTATATTCAATTTTGCGTGCTAAAAAAAACACGCGAAAGGCAGGGAAGCCGTCTGGCAGTCGCTTGGCTCAGCAAGACGTCAGCTTCCAAGCAAGTGGGGCATCACCAGACGATGCACTTCTGCTCGGGGTTCATGATGGTGCCAACACGGCAGCCAAACGCCTCCGAGAACCGCTCGAAGTTCATCAGTGGTACGATGGTCCTGCAACACAATGCAATTAGTGCTCTCGGCAGCTGCTCCAAAGAAATGGGTCTTTGAAACCTCAGAGTACTCGGCAACTAGGCAGGACCGAATAATGTAGCGCAGGGGTTTTCAAACTTTCGGACCTTGGGGAACTCCAACGGCTTTGCCAGAGTGCCGTGCAACCATGAACTTTTTTTTTGAGCATGAAGACAATAAAAAGCGAGGGGGGAGAAGAGAATTAGTAACACGTCGCTCTGTTCTCATTTTTTTTTTAATATCGAAGGTCATCGCAGTTGATGTAGAACTCCCGATGACATGACTTGTGATTTGCCCCTGCACCACCCCGTGAGTCGTGTAAAGCACCACTGACCACTCACTGCATGCTTCAGTTGGCTGAACCATGCCAACTATAAAGGACCTATAAAGGCCCATTTTATATTGTGCAAAATAAAGAAGGTATGGCAGTCGCATAGCGAAGCGACTGTCGACCGATACACCGGCCGTAAAGCTAAGCCTACTTGCCTGCGTAGCCTACGGCTCGCACGATGGGCCATGTCGTACGCATATCAAACTGACAAAACGCAGCAGCATATCACTGTACATGAAAAAAACTGTGCCACGTGATCGTTTACGCGCCATGAGCCACGAATAAAGTGTCGAGATCTCGTTTGAACGCTCGCAAGCATACCAGCGCTCAGAGCGTTTTGCCACTGGTCTGGAAATTATGAAGTTTAATAGCGTGCACTTGTTGTCGAACCTCTAGTGCTGCTTATACTAGGGTCCCAGACTACCCGCAGACACCTGACGTGATGACATGGCGTTCGATGGATTGTTAGGGGGGCCCTGCAATGCTGTTTCAAGTAGCCGTGGAATGGATTCAGTAAAGGAGCTTATTGCCATGCTCAAATCAGCCAGTTGCTGATACAATGGCTCTGAGGAATAGTATTTGAGCTTGTTCCGTCATTTGTCGAGAGGAAAAAAAGCAATTTTTAGCCGACTTGGAGAACTTATTGTGAAATCCAGGCCACCGGTGATGTGCTGTAATTGCCGTGTTCTCGGAGCCTAGTCTGTCTGTTCGCAGCGTTTTCTGACCATGCTCAAAAAGTGTTGCAGGGCCCCTTCAATTGCAAAATGCAATGCAAATTTACTTCTCTGAATTAAAAAAAGTTGGCTGCTATAACACGGGTAAAATGGGAGCGGTTCACAATAGTTCTGGCCGCTGGGAATCAGTGGTCTCCGCAGAACCCAGTTTGAAAACCTATGATACGGCGGCCAGAAAATGAACATGAAGGTTCCGTCAGGTTTAGACAAAATGCGATGGCATGTTGATCATTCTTTCTTGCTCGCCAACACATGCACTATGCTAGATTTGTACCTTTGTGAAAGATAGCTGTACCACGACGTAATGGCAGTGTGACATTATGATATACTTCATTGGCCAACAGACGACACAGACATCTGCATTGAAGTATCCGACTGCTGCCTGCTGGATACCACCAAAAGCTTGGTACAACAACTTTCGCGAATTGGTGAACATAGAGCCCTAGTTTGAGGCTTTGGCATAGTTACAGTGGCATGATAGAAAGGCCGGATATAATTGCTGCAGTGCCATTATTGAGCGCCACTGTGTTGCATTTTTACTCGTCAGGCACTAAAAACTTCTTAGGGGTGCCCTGCAACACTTTCAGCATGGTCAATGTTGCCGACCGGTAGTTGAGACTCCTGAGAATTTGTGGGCCATAGTGTACGATGTGACCTGGAATTTACAATTTCATTGCTCCTCTTCACAAATGATGCCATGAACCCAAATGACGGCTCCATAAACCCAAAGCCCATGGCCAGTGGTCGATTTGAGCATGGTGAGCTGCATAGTTATCGTGGCCGCCTCAAGGTGCTGCCATGTGTCTGCATGCAAACAGACTGGTTGTAGGTTTTTGTTCCCTTGTCGTGCTCTTCTTCCCCCCCCCCCCTCCCGGTGTGTGGTTTTCAACGCACTGGCTGGTACGAAAGGAGGGAAAAAGTACTTAAAGCGTGCAGCAAATTCCTGTAGCTCCGTTTCTACTTGACGGTTTCTAAAAACTTTTGCGGCAGTTCATTCGTGGGGTAAAATGAAGCCATTCGACGGTAGCTTAAAAAGTGTTGCGGGGCCCCTATTAAAGATTGATTATTACTGCGAAAAATCGAGGTTCACCTTTCTGGGGCCGAGTGCTTGGAACCTTCGGAATGCTAATAAGTTTGCCAATAAACATCTTAGTAGAATTTTCAAGTTAGTGACCAAAACTTCATGTTGTCCCCCACCCCGTTATGCTTAAACTTCGGTGTTAGTTACAAACCCGGCTGACATGAATTTCGGTCTGATAGAAATTTGTAAGATTCCCCGTCCGAATTTCATTGTTTGCTATAGGCCAACACTTGGATGTTGCAAACACTTTTCCACCTCACTGTAGCTGACACGAAGTTTGCTACTGAAACCATCAAGTGACAGCCGAGAAGCGGGATTCGGAAGCTTCAGAAGTACATACGCAGCCAGCGCGCATGTGGTCAGGACTGTGGCTATCATTTAACGAAACCGCTGTAAACGAAACTGCATTCGCTGTCGATGCGATCAGGTATAATGACGACAAGAGTGCTTGTGTCCAACTCGTACAGAGTCCAAGCAACGCTGCTTTCCGGAACTGCTACGAATAAAAATGTGGTAGATGCGATCATAGATTGCAACGAGTTTTGAAGGTACATAGGGGGCCTATGCACTCAGATTGAAAATGGAACTACCGGTTGCCGTAGCAGCTGCGCAGGAAACTGCGTTCGCTATTCACACAATCACCAATTACGAACAAGTATCTCGAACGGTATACGGGGCTAATGCAGCGGTAGATTAAAGGCAACAAAATTGATCATAAAAGGGCACAAGGAGTTTGTGTTTTTGTCACTGCTTATGACTATGGCGGAGCGGTTTCGGGCACTTCGTTTTCAGTTGGCCTCAAACAAAGCTTTGACACATGCAGTTTGCAGCTGCCAGCGGCAACGCCCCTAGTTATATGTTTATGTGTGTACTACTAATAAGACTTGTGCAAGTTCCTTCTGTGGAAATAAATATTTTGGGTATATAGTGGCTTGAGAATGGGTTTTGCTAGTTTTATTGGCGACACAAATAGTTTTTGCCCCCCCCCCCCCCCCTTCACGTTATGTATCTCAGGAATCCTACTGTCTTTGGTCTTGTCAATCTTACCCTTATAAAAGAATTGTTGCTGCATAAACAAAATAATGATACAATTTAACTTCATATTGATTTTAAATGCAACTGCTTGTTCAACCTTTGTGGCAATCACCTGTAGCGGCTGGGTGTCGTTTCTCGCGGGTTGAGGTAAGAGTACATGGACCTCTTGCGGGCCACTTCACACCTCGACTGCAAAAAAAAAAAATAACAATTGTGTCATTATTCTTTCTACGCATCAAGAAGGTGATTGTCTGAAGTAATTGAGAGTGCCTTGGTGTTCTACTCTTTGCGTATGCCGTATGCATGGAAACAAAGTTACTTCACAGTATTTGGCAGATTACGGGGTACATGAATGACTTGGATGCATTCGCACTTGACAACAGTGTATCTGCACAAATTTCTACTTTTACTTCAGATATGCTCTAATTTCCTACATTAATGAGGTAGATATGATCTTGCTAATCTTACATCTAACTCTAATCTGATCCAGAAAAGGCCTAGCTAATCCAGCATTTTAGTCTTATCGACTCTGTAACTATTTCTAGTATTATTACTAAAACCTGAACACGTAAGCTAATGTAGGTTACTTAAATATCTTGAATGCAGGATGAAGTTTCACCTTGAAGCTTGCTGCATTTAACTTTCTCTTTAATATTCAGTTTAGTTTCTGAAGTTCTAATTCTTAAAGCTCAGACGCATTTTGTTTAAACATTCAAAATCATGTTTTGCGACAGATCCTATATAACAAGATACTGGAGGTTTACACTTACAAGCGCATAGGCGATGAAGAAAATTTGGTCCATTGTGTACGGCTCCGTACCGGGAATGGCGTACATGCCGTAAAGCTCCTCGTACTTGATCATGTACACGCGGTATGCCTGTTTTCAAACGCGCACAAGAAGGACAGTGAGCATGCAAATACTTTAGACCCAACGAACAAGCAGCAGTCATTGCCAAGAAAAAAAATAACATACATAGAACCGAGGCAAAGTGCAGTGACAGGCCAGCTGCTCTGTTATAATGCCATTTGTACTGGTGTAAGAGCAGCCATGCTTTGAGGAAACACAGTCTCATACTGACCGACATCAGAGGCCTGCAAGATGCTTCCCATTTGCTGTCAGTTAAAAATTGTATGTTATCGCTTATGTTATCCAACCACGATTGATAAGAAAACTGGTTGGTTGTTGCTGTTCTCACACTTCTATCGAAATGCAATTATGATACAGCTGGACTGGTATCAAGTAGGAGTTTTAGATGCATTAAGAGTGCAGACTTATCAAGATGTCATCACATTTTATGCCGTCGCTTATTATGCCTCGCCTTACCTTGAAGGCTTGCCTCAGTCCGGCATTGTCGGCAATGTTGATTTCGAGCGTGCCATTGATGCTCAACTATAGAAAAGAGTATACCATTTGAAATGAGTAGTGAAGCAGTCGCAAAGAATGAACAGCAGTTCTTTAGAGTGCATGATTTTTATTTTACATTACACTGTGGTGTAACATACATTTTCTACAATATATGTTCTTCATTTCGCTCTAAAGTAGAATAGCTAGCTGTGCCGAGAAATAAGAAATCAAATAAGCATATTTGAAAACCTGTTGGCAGTTGTAAAAATTGAAGCAAGAAGCCGTTGAGAAAACTAGAGACAGAAGTGTGGCCAACTGGGTATAAACATTTTTAACGGTGGATTCCTTCAGCTGTTGCACAGAAGTACAAAAGCCGAAGTCACAGCCTCATCAGTGCATTTGTGGGGGGACTTGCTTTTTAACAGTCCACAGAGGACTCTGGTGGTGCTTAAAGAGCCTTTGTTGCCAAAGTGCATACATTCAATAATGAATGCAGCGCTTGCTGCAATCGATAAGCTGGTGTGTGCAATTAACGTAATCTGTTCCTGTATGCTTGAATCGCAAATTTAGATTATGGCTGGTAATATGAGTGCACCCGGCATCGCCTCAAATTTATGCGCTTTTCTGCCTGTTTTAAATTTCAGAATTTCAAAAATTCTGAAATGTTAGCATCTGCATGCCTATCTGAGCTTTCACAGCTTACAAGAAAGAATTTGGTGGAGCTCGTTACTGTCCTCAATATCACCGCTGATTATTACCATGATGTCCATAATTGAGGAAACGCCTCAGTGATCACATTTGTTTTTAACACCATCACCTTGAGTGTGCGAGGGCGTGCTTACCTTCTTGCCGGTGACCGGGTTGCTGAACAGGTCGTACTGCTCGAGCAGGCAGCGCGAACCCGTGATGAACTTGCGGTGCGTCTGCCGCGTCCACCACTCGACCAGTTTGCCTCGGTCGTCGTACATGGCGCCTGCGTTGGCATTGTTAAAGAGGTCATGAACAACCCTTCAGAAAATACTGCTGACAGCAGACACTGCTATGAACATCTCTGCCAAATCTTGCGGTCGTGCGCGTCTCAGAGAGTTTAGAAGCGGAGTGCGAAGTTGATACTTTTTCCTCAGACGCCGTCTTTATACAAAAGTCTGTTGTGCTCACTTTCTTCGGAGCTGCCATCACCTGTTTAACATCGAACAGCAAATATTATGCTATATGTCAATGGCCGACATAAAGGGGCATTTAGATCTGATGTGTTTCCTGCCACGAGGTGCTGGCGTCGTGCTCCATAGCCTGTTAACAGTACGTAGTGACCTACACGGGAATCCCTATCGTAGAGAGCGATCGCGTTTCATTACACGCTGTCAAAGTCATGTGCTGACGTAACTTGCTTCAACCGTGACATCTTTCCTTGTCAATAGCAACCAGCACTCCCGTCAGGACAAGAGACGAGCGAAGGTGCTTAAAGAATGTAACAAAACCCTGTAACTTCCCTCATAGCTGATGGATTCAAGAAGTTTTCCGGCAATTGATTCGTAATGCAATAAATTCCCATACAAAGGTCATTCGATGATTACTTAGTAAATCTTTTCATGACCGCTTTGAGAACAGCTGAAGAACTGTTACAATTAAAGAAGAAGCTGGTCGAGCAAATAGTTTTGATGACACAACGTGTAGAGTCACAAGCAGTGCTTCATTGGTTTAAAATTCAGTCGTAGGGCGTAAGTGTGCATGTTCCACCAGAGCAATATCTTGAAGCAATTCAACACTGTGTAGTTGTGCTGCAATGAACTTCCTTTTTCTTTTTCAATTTTTGCTCGTGCCATGGGATCCCTAAACTTTTGCTCGCTATAATACAATGCACAGTTGCAAATTATTATGGCCGACTTGCCATCAAGAATTTCAAGTTTTTATTCCAGTTATTAGTACAGAAAAGGGAACGTCGTACAAAGCAGATAGGCAGGAGGAGGTACGAAAGTGCAAGGCTGCAAGGGGACCTCCTGTTCAACATTGTATAACAAACCTTATTCAATCAGCCATAACAGTGAAAACAGGAAAATGAGTAAATTGATTTAACAAAATCAACACTAAGATACAAGTAAAGAGTGGCATAAACAATATTACAGGAAAAAAACATAAACCATTCATCGAGCATTGTTTGGATGTGAGATGGCAATGAATTCCATAATGATAATGCTGAGAAATGGGCAGCGTTGTAATCAAAATTAGTACAGATAGCAGGTAGTAAAAAATTTCTATTTGAAGCAAACCTAGTTTGGTTGAAGCTGTGCAGAGCATCAGGACAAAAGGCACTTGATGGTACAAGATGGTTCAGTGACTTGAAAAGCATGATAATAAAATATTTTACTAAACTAGCAGTAGGAAGTATCTCAAAGTTGTGAAGTAATGATGATGCACTAGTACAATATGAACTGAAAGTTATTAGTCTAATGGCTTGGTTTTGAGTGTGCTGAATGGGAGATAAGTAAGTTAGGTATTATTTCGCCATGTAGTGATGCTATAAATAATATGACTGAATAAAAGCATAATTCCTTTCACTTCATGCCTCAACAGTGCTCAAAAATTGGGCAACTATAAATGTACTTAACCATTGAAGTCACAATGTATGTGGATGATACACTTTTAAATCATGTGCTCTATAAGTTCAATTTAAGTACTGTCCGATCTAGTTGATGGCAACATGACCAGACAACACCAGTACGAGTTTTAAATATACATTACACTAATTTGCCCTTAGTTTTCCGATTTTGTAAACGAACTTGTAGAGTACGTTTATAGAAAGGATAGAAAGCTTTAATTTAGCACTTGTGCTCAGTGTATCCGTACCGTGTTCTCCGAAACCATGTGTGATTTCCTGCCCAATGATGGAGCCGAGAGCGCCGAAGTTGATGGGCCTGGGAGGAGGAATTGTAGCAGAATGGAAATGCATCATTACTAACATTTCTCAAGAGCTGAAGAATAATTGTAAAATGGGTGACTTACGGAGGCATGTCCAGTAGAAAGAATGGGTACTGGATGTAGTCAACCGGCAGAACTACCAATGGGAGAAGGGAAATTTGTGCATTGCTTAGTGAAGACACTAACAACAGTATGAAACCAGGTATCTCAAGTGTACAATATGACTGTGTTAAGCTGCACTTATGCAGAACACAAGCTGTACCTCCTGGAAGGTAGCATATGTGCAAAGTATAGGTTTGAGCATCGACGACAGAAAATGATGCAGTATTATGGACAAACTCAAGCTTAATCTTAATAGATATGCTGCTTATGTTCGCTAAGTGTATAGTGTGCAATAGCCCAGCCGATGCCAGCAGTCTTTATTAAATGAATCGTGTTTGTGACTTACGAACATAGTTGCCAAGATGGCTGTAGTAGGTCGAGCCGTCGACGCTGCCCGGGTACCATCTGGAAAATTTATTACAATAGCAAAACATGTCGTGGATATGTGTTCCATCAATCGATGCCTGAACAACAGTCATTGGCTCACTCCACGGGATTATGACTAGAGAGTTTTGAGAGATTAATTCTTTCCGCAAAAGCTTTCAGACGCTGGGGCTCTGCTAAAAATGCTGCAAAAAGAGGGTAGTATGGCTCCTGCAGCCATCAGGAGCGACATTACTGCATAGCTTTTGGAACAAGATGGTACAGTGCTCTTGGTGTCGCTCTTTGCCTTCCGTTTCTTAATGTTAAGTCTTTCCTTCACTTTCGTGCTTGCACTGCAACCCTTTCCAATGTGCATCAACTGAAGACGAGACCTTGGACCTGTTCAAGAATTTTTTATCCCTATGCTTCTGTATTGTTTGGATTTCTGCTTAAATAGGGAGCACATACAGAAAAGCTACACCCATTCTTATAGATCCCATCATAATATGATCTAATATCTGGGGTTTCAAGTCCCAAAACAACAATATGAATATGAGAGATCAATCCTTGATCTCTCGTATTCCAATATATGAGAGATAAATTCTTGATCTCACATATATTAGATGGCGTACTGGAGGCCTTCTAAAATTTCTACCAACTGGTGTTTAAAAGGGGCCCTGAAACACTTTTTTGAGTAACCATGGAATTAATTCACTGAGAAAATGATTGACTCACAAATTCAGCACCTTGAAAAATTTTAAAAATCCTTCCAGTACGAGTGGAGTTACAAAGATTTGTCACGCGCTGCAATCGCATTCTCTCTTCTCTTGTCTCGACGAAAGCGCTGGAACCTAAGCAGGGAGGTATTAGGGCATCAACATTAAACCGGTTTTGCGGCAAACCCGATTATCCAGTTATTCGATTTGTCGGTTATTCAAATTCGAAAACCAGATAACCGGATTGACCGGGTATTCAGTTGGTTATTTGTTTAACAATACCGTGATATTCGAATAATCGAATAACTAGACTTTCATTTTGTAATGCTAGCATAAATATTCGTTTTTCTTGGATTCTCGTGTTTGTAGGAAACATTGCTACCATTTGTACAAGTCTGGTATGTGCTTATATTGACCTTCTCACATTGTTCATTTGTCTTAATGTGGGGACATTACCTGAGTCACTAGTGATTATGCTTCTTGAAAGGTAGCCAATGATTACCTATTTACAAACATTGCGTTAGTTATGAATATCCGCAGGGTGCGAAAGTGCATGCGCGGTTGAGAAACTGGAAGTCCTTGCATGGGCCATTAGTGGTTACGTAAGTAATGAATTAACAAGCTGTGCATGTTATGTCGGTGCATATCTAATAGCGCTCAAATTTTCAATAGAGGCGGAAATGTTGTAGGCCCGTGTGCTCAGATTTGGGCGCACGTTAAAGAACCCCAGGTGGTCGAAATTTCCGGAGCCCTCCACTACGGCGTCTCTCATAATCATATGGTGGTTTTGGGACGTTAAACCCCACAAATCAATCAATCAATCAATCAAATTTTCAATAGGCTCTTAGAGAAACTAAATATTCGTTTCCGAATATTCGAATAACTGGGTGTACGTTCATTCAAACCGGATAAGCAGAATTCCCATTTCTTTAAGTCCGGATACCGGATAACACTTTCAAGGCCGGATTCACTTTTCTACGGTTTAACCAGATAGCCGGTTTGGCGGATACTTACAAGCCCTAGGAGGAATGGGAGGGGCAAACAAAAAATTTCACGCGCACCTCCTGACCGAACGCGCCATGTTCAAATCAGCCAATAGCTGATAGATGGGTAATTTACTATTTATTTATTTACAGAGTACCAACATCGCCATATAGGCATTACGCAGGGGGAGGGGAACAAAAAAAAAAAAACAACAATCCGCACAAATGAATTTGTAGCAAAATACATAAACGCACATAAAAACACTGTATAGTGATTGATTCCTGTGTTAAAGTATATATCTGGTGCAACAGTGAAAGTAATATATCTGGTTCAACAGTTTCAGCCGTAGTTTCTGTCTACGTACACGTAGCAAATCCCATCCCAAAGTGGCCTTTATTTTATGAAACGCTGGCGTTGGGGCTATAATTGCCGCTTGATCCTGAAGTTTTTCTATTTTATTTATAAGATAGTCTTGGTGGAGGTTGCATACTACCCATGCGTAATGAAGTATAAACCTGACCTGCAAGAAATATAAATTTTCCTTGATTTCGCGCATCGCCTGTTTGAAATTCCTTCGAATAAAGTATAACATCCTACTAGCTTTTGCTATGGTCACGTATTTGTTCCGTGTAAATGATTCAGTAAAAATGAACACCAAGGTACTTATAATCGCGGTGTGTGTTAATGAGTACGCCATGGATGTTATATTGATGAAATGATTTGGATATTTTCCTTGAGAAGCTCACACTGGAACACCTTTTAATGTTTAAATTCATTTCCCATTCTCTGCACCAGTTCGCTACGTGATCTAGGTCGGGTTGCGAAATGCGAGTATCAGATTCAGTCGTGATTTCAGTCGTGATTTACGTGTGATTTTCTGGCGTACGTGGTTCCACCAAAATGCAACCGTCGCGGCCGGGTCCGAATCCACGACCTTGTGGTAAGCAGCCGAGAACCACAAGCACTGTTCCGCCGCCTCGGTAAACTGTAGATTCCATCGGCCACGCGCGGAAGTCGGTGAAACATGCATGCGAACAAGGAGACGTACCCGAAGTCGGGAGCCCGCCGCACGTTGCGCAGCTTGGCGAACGAGATGCGGCTGTGGATCTGCAGCGCCTTGAGGAGACTCACGAAGAACTCCTCCTTGCGGAGGTCGGGCAGCTGCGATGCGACACGGGGTAGATGCATGTGCATTAACAACATACGGGTGGGCAGAGGATGATTGCGAGTACCTTTGCATATATAATCGCTGATAAGAAAATACACTTGGATTCTTAAGCTAAGATAGATGACATAGAGACTTTATGCAGCCATCGCTGTTTAACTCGTGCAAAATACTCCCATGTGATGGATCGAGAAGCTCAGAAGGCGCAGTGCATGGTTTAATTGCATAGCTACAACTGTCGTACGTTATCGTGTCATGAAACTTAGCCTAAGGATATCATCTTATCTCTCGCAACACTATGTTGGACAAAAGGTGGGTTTGCGGCGTCCGTACCGCACAACAATAATTGTCATCTAGCGTGCTTTCCTGCGTTATCGGCATGCGCTTGGTATACTTCCCTATCAAGAACAACGTACGTGTCGCTTTCGGCGTGATATAGCGCTCTTGATAGGAAAGTAGATAGCGCATGCACTTTTCCTGAAATGAAACGCAAAAATGCTGGGTTATTGTGTGGCAGAAAGTACTCCCGTTACCTTGAGTGCAAACGAAGAAAATGGCTTACTAAGGTCGGCGGACAAACCAGGAATACTACTAATTATGCTCTCTCTCTCTCACACACACGCACACACACGCACGCGCACACACCCACCCACCCACCCACACACACACACACACACACACGCGCGCGCGCGCACGCGCACGCGTTTGGGATTTGAACATAATGTTCAAAACCAGCTGGCGCATACGCGTGCGGAAACGTTCTTAAGTAGCAGGATAAGTGTACATTGATTTCACTAAATGCTGTACGACGTCCAATTTCACTGCATAAAATCGTCCAAAAGATGCAATTATAGAGTTCGGTGGCGTAAAAATGCATAAGCTGTGTGATCAAGGTGCGAAAATAAAAGCAACGAAATCACCGATTTACTCATTTGCAAAGTGATATAGCTAAGGGTCGTAAGCCAGACATTTTCTTTCGGAAGGAGCACCACCTTGATTTCGGGAGGGACACCCCCTGAAAATAGTCATTTCCCGCTCTCCATGCATAGCGAAAATAAAAAAAAAAAATAGGAGGGGGGGGGGGGCACTTGCCCGGTGTGCCACGCCCTGGCTACGCCCCTGATATAAGCTAATCGTTCTCGGCTACCGACCAGCAGGTCGCGGGATCGAATCCCGGCTGCGGCGGCTGCACTTACGATGAAGGCAGAAATTTTGTAGGGCCGTGTGCTCAGATTTGGGTGCACGTTTAAGAACGTCAGGGGGTCGAAATTTCCGGAGCCCTCCACTACGACGTCCCTCATAATCATACGGTAGTTTTGGGACGTTAAACCCCACATATCAATCATTATAGCTAATCGTTCATAATGCGGCGCACTTACGTCCTTGTAGTACTCGTCCAAATCTCGGTCGCTCCGGATCCACGGAGGGTAGCCGATGTTGAGCTGCAGGTGGTGGAGCTGCGGCAGATGTGTAATTGCAACTGACGGGCCAAGTGAATGTGAGGGTGCAACGTACACTTGGCTAAACACTGGCTACGGAAGAAGCTTACGAGTTACGTTAATTACGAGTTTCGCTTGTCTCGATCAATAGGTGCCCTATCTTCGTGGCCACTCGAGTTTAGCTGATCCTTGTACGTACATTATCTTGTAAATGTGCTATGCGTGGTTATTGCGTTGATATAGTTAAAAATTGCAAATCTGCAAATAGCTCGTGTTGGAGTAGTGTTCATTTTTAGTTGAGTGCCTGTAAGAAAACGCTCCTTAAAGGTGTTAGGGCTAAAGGAAGTGATACACAGTAAAAATTTTTGCACCCAAAAGGGTGTAAAAAGGGTGCTTTTACGAGAAAGCACCCTTTGCAACACCCTTTAACACCCATAAATGGTCGATTGAAAAAAAAGCACCCTTTTGTTTAGGTGCTTGCCTCGATAGCACCCTAAAATAGGCTCTAAGGGTGCTTTTGTGCCTGAGAAGGGTGTAGGTGCCGATTCATCGGATGGAATATGCAGCATAAGAAGAACACATAATTATAATATTTGGGATTTTACGTCTCAAAAACATCGATATGATTATGAGGGTCGTCGTAGTGGAAAGCTGCAGATTTTCACCATTTCGTGTTTTTTAATGAGCGCTCATATCGCACAGTGCAAAGGCTTCCACATTTTCGCCTCCGCCTTAATTCGACTGCCACGGCCGGCATCGAACCCGCGACCTTCGGATTGGCGGCTGAGCAGCGCAGCTACTGCACGAATATGTGGACCTTGCGTTAAATGACGGCCTAATTGACTTAGAATGTGTGAAGGTGCTCTCCGAATACAGCAGAATGTCAGCAGAAGCAAATCGCGTTTCATCTATAATGGCAATTAACTGCAATCCATGTTACGAAAGCTTTCCTTAGCGTTGGTTATAAGCTACATGTTTGCTGTGGATTATATACAGGAACATAATGTTCGCCCGAGTATGGGTGTGTGTGCGTGAGCCTGCGCATGTGTTCGCGTGTAAGCGCGATTGTGTGTACACCCGTGCATGTGTGCGTGCGCGTGTATGTGCGAGTCCGTGCCTGTGTTAGCGTGCCTGTGCACATGTGTACGCCCATGCATGCGTGCGTTTACGGTCGCGTGTGTGTGTTGCCGTATGTGTGTATACGTGTATGTGTGTGCGCCTGTGAATAAGTATGCGTGTGTATCAGCCCGTGCGCCCTCAAATTTCGTGTGTGTGTGCGGGGAGGGGGGGGCACTGCTTCTTAGTGTTTAAGGTCCCACACCTGTTCAGACTGGGAGTCTATATGGGAGGTGGCTTAAGAAATGGCGGTGGTCAACGCACTGTACACGGACTATTCAGTACATGGAAAACAGCTGCACACTTTCGTACCAAATCATTGCTTACGAACTTGCTGTGGTAGCTGATTAGGTCCGCTGAGGCGCTTCTACGCTCGAAAACGTGGGTCATGACCAATTCACACGGAAAGCTGTCACTGCGCTTATGCACAACCATCGTTTATATTAACAACGTTTAACAAGAACGTGCCCTGCCTTTGCTACAGGTGCTTAGCTAGCTCATTGGGCAACCATATGAAATTATGTGCTGATCATGTGGTCAGCAAAAAGTTTGTTATAACAACCTCGGCACGTTTCGTGGTGCGTGACAAGCCTTGTAATAAACATCCGCGACTGTGGATTAATTTGTTCCAGCTTCGACTACGCATTCAGTGTTTGCGGCACCATACGCGGAATAGCCAGACACAGATAATGCGAAAAGAAATGCTCTGGAAAAAGGTGTGGCGATGCTCTCCCGCTAATGCCACCGAGGACGAAATAATTATTGTTTCTGGCCATTCCATGGTGCACTTGGTTTTCCGCAAGTTTTGCTTCACTATTTTTCGCCCACTGCAATCGCATTCCGTCAAAATACTCAAAGAACCCGAGGCTGGTAAATAATCTGCGTCGCTGTGCGACTGGCTGGGAGGAGAGTTGCCGTTTACAAGGAGTCATTCCGCGCCGAACGGCCGTCCGCCGTATGCGCCATAGCGTTTGCCTTTCGGCGCCGCCTTGGCGGGTTTCCCGCTCCTCCCCCCCCGCTCACCCCGGCCAGCGTTGCTCCCACAACGGCGGCGTAGATAAGCGAAGAGTTGCGTCACCGAACACCTGCGTGGACAGCTGCGGCGCCGCCACGCCGCCGCCAATGCCTCCTCCTTCTCTCTCTCTCTCAACGTTGCTCCCTCTGTCTCATCGTCTTTCAAATGCGTTGCGTTGGTCTGGGGTCTTGGTCGCTGTGTGTGTTCTAGCGAACAGGCGCATATTCAATGGTGGTCACGCATGACACCGTGTTCGAAGTGACGCTCGGATTAAGGAATATTCATGGAGTGGCGGACACGGACAACGTGGGCCTGTTAACGGTGAGTGTACTGTTTTCGTAGGTAGTAATCATACAGCGCTAGCTGGGCGCCTGCAGCAGCTCTGCCGAAGTAGGCTGCCAGCCATTTACAACAGCATGCGTTCGCGGGCCTGTTGCAGATGCCCGATTAAACGTGTGACTTAACGAGTTCACACTGCTATGCGCGATGTTGTGTAAGTGCCTGCATCACTCATACAGTGAGTGATGTGATCACTTAACAAGGGCGGGATTAGTTGCTGATCGCACTTTGTCTCTACACTGCACAAAGTGATTGATATTGTTTTAAGATGTGCTTTGGGCTACATCGTAATAACATTTCTATTAATACTCGAATGTGCAACGTGCTTCTGTAGGTCTAAGCGTAAAAAAAGAAAGAAAAAGCAAAAATTATGTACAGAGGCGCACTGTACGAAATGGATTTTTTTTTCTTAAAGACGGTATAGTTGGAGGTGCTGATATGCCGCGATGCTCCCAGCACGTGCGCCTCGGTCTTTTAAGCTATTGAGGACAAGTGTCACCAGCAACAGGGAAAGATCTAGCAGACTTCCAAAGGCGCGTTGTTGTGGCCATCGCCGTGCGTTGTTTTCCCTCGTTTCTGTTTGCTGTTTTCGTGCTTCGCTTTCATCTGCGATAATGTTCGGCGTTATAACAGAATCGAGAGAGTATACGTGACTGTTGGAGCTATGTGCGGTTGCTCTAGCATAAGCCATGGCTGCTGCAACGTAGTCGGTGTCCGCGCGCGTTGCCGCGTTCGAGCGCTCTTACTTGCGTGATTGTGTTTAACTGAGTATTTAGGCACGGGTTACGTTTGTAAATCCCGTAGTCAATAATCGCTAATAGCGTGCCCCTGATTGCCATCAGAGGATGGGCTTGGTTGTCGAAATATGCCAGACGCTTTTTCTGAAAGCAAGCTTTGAAATTTTTTTTTAAAGAAGTACTTTCATACGTGCAAGGCAGTGCCTATTGCAGGCCCGCAACTCTTTAAAAACTGGACGAGCTATCACATCTTTTATCAAATTACAATGAATTAAGATGATTCAATTATAGATGACGAATTTCTGTGCTAGATTAGGTGCACAAAACACATGTTCGCAGCCCTACGTCTAGAAAGCAGGCAAATAGGAAGCACAGCGTCAAATTTGGATTAGATTCCATTGACGGAGCGTCTTGTGAGGGTAGAAAGAACGAGAAAATTGTTCATTTTTGATGCCCTTATAGAGGCAGTCAGAATTGCACTGATTGGTGACTTGTAATAATTCCTCAGATTGTTAGAGGCGTGATTAAAGTCAGTAAATCTTTTACTTTTTTTTTGCAGACCTCTTCGCTAGTGCCACGCCCAAGATCATTTGTTCTCATGTAAAAGAGAAAGCAGAGATGTCTTCACTGTTTGTACATGAAGAGGTGAGTTTCTTGTGCATTTTGATTAATGTTATATGTTCTGAGCGTTGTACTTTAGGAATTGTTTTTCACACTGGCTCACTACCCTATAAGGAATTTGATTCTTAGGTGAGTTCAGGCTTTCGTAAGTGCCATTTTCGAGCTGTAGTCTTACACTTCACCTCATTTCGGGAATTTGCTGTATGCTGGAAAACTCTTATCTTTATCATACGAAATTATTAGAATGTATGGGTTGTATGCTTCGAGTTCAGTGTAATGTCAATTACACGCCATTTCGAAGGATACACACTACACATTCTTTATATATGGTGCTGCCAGAACAGCACGAACATCCTTTTAAGAGAAGTCATATTTGCTCTTATTACAGGATGAGAGGGTGCCGCTGACGTCCTGCGTAGTCTACCCCCCGGCCCCAGTCTAGAGCAAGCCTACTTCCTGAACCTCCACATGGATAACCGAAAAATCTTCCGTGTCAGTAATGACGAAGAAGAGTGACAGCACTGATGAGTTGATTTTTTTTATTTTCAACATTGTCTACGGCCGCAAGGCCTTTAACAACCACCGTGATTGAGCGGATTTTTCTCGGCGTGAGTTTGGAGTTTATCAAAGAAGTTGTTCAGGCAGTACGACGCTGAAAATTTTAGTGTCACAATGCCTGAACAACTTTTTCTAGTGTGGTCATGGTAGATGAACAAACATTGTTATTTGTGTAAGTTATTTTGCTTAAATATAGCTGGACCATTCCATGCCAAACGTCCCAGCCACTTTGGCGACCATCTGAATTGTATTTGAAAAAAAAAGTGCTGACTTACTGCGTTGAAAACAGTGAACTGCTAGAATATTTCAGCGAGAAAAAAAGTTTTGTTCATGTGGCTGGCATTATAACTTCCTGGCATAATGCCGTCTGTGTGCTGTTTGTGGAAAATTTCGTTTTAAAACTACCGCTTATTTTTTCTAAAGCAAATTCGGTCTACCTGTTAAGTAAATGATCTTCTGTAAGGTATTTGAAGCTCAATAGTAATAGTGCAATTTTTTAGCCACATTCGTTTCCAAGAATAAAGCCAAAATGTGTTATGTTTGCATTTTTTATTGCAATATTGCACTTTGTATGAATATCTGAGCAGTGAATATTTACTCCACAGAAGGTATATTTTGAGGAAAAAATATCTTTAGACCTCTCAAGCTGCTGAAATATACGAGAAAATATCACGAATTTCACAAAATTGTGATTTTTGTCCGTATTGAGATGCAATTTGCTCCATGTTGTGATACAATGAAAACTCATCATTATATCTAAATTGTAAGAAAATGAAATTCTTTCTGTAATAAAAATCTTATCGCAAAAAGGACAGGAAAGAGCGCTGTCAACTGAATTTTATTGAAGGTGCTACGAGCGTTTTTATACTGAGCACAAGACCAGGGCTCATCTGCAACAACACATGTGTGACCATGACAAAATAATTTTAACCGAGAAAAGAATACTCTTTTTCAGAAAAGATAAGTGAAGGTGTACTGATGCATTGATCCTTGGCCTTCCTGATAAAGAGTTCTAAAATCTCTCATTTTTCTGCTTGCTTTTTTTTTCAAAAACCGTGTTTTATGAAACCTAGGACTACACTTACATTCTTTACGGTGTCCGGCCATGAGACTACTATAGCTCTTCTTAACATTTAAAGCATGCTGTCTTGCTTGATCATTGAAGCATTGCCCAGTTTGTCCTATGTTTACTTTTCCACATGTTAGCGGTATCTTATACACATTAGATTGGCATTCAGTAAACCTATTCTAGTGACGAATGGTGCAAGATTGACTATTCCTGTTGCTGTAAGTACATGCACTTTTGAAAGCTTGCAAGGGGCTGGAAAACAACAATGTCATATCTGCTGGCTCTTTTCCTAAAATTGTGAGACACCTTATGTACGTAGCACCGTGTGACATGCAAAGGTGATTGGTCATTCTCTTTTTCTTTTGGTCCTGCTTCCTTTAACTTTACTTTCTGCAGGAGGGTTTCACAAACAAGTGTGATGATGCTGTTGGGGTATTGGCTGGTGCTATCAGCCCAGGAGTGCTAAGAATGTTCTGCCTTTTGATAGTGGGCATTCAAAATTAGTAGAAAGAGGAATTGATACCACATGTACTCAGGTCACCCTTCAGAAGTCATGTTAGCACAAGGGTGAGGTCAGGTTTAAAAACCAGATTAAAAGACTAAAAGATGCTGGGTATCCCAACAGAATCATCACACCCGTTTGCAAAACCCTCCTGCAGAAAGTAAAGTTAGACAGGACCAACAAAAAACAATGACCAAAACCTTTGCATGTTATACCACATCATGTGTCTCACAATTAAAAAAATAGCCAGCAGATATGATATTAGCGTGTTGTTTTCCACCCCTTGCAAGCTTTCAAAAGTGTGTGTACTAAACAGCAACAGGAATAGTCAATCTTGCCCCATTCGTCACGAGAATAGGTTTACTTAATGCCAATTTAATGTTTGTAGAAGTATTTTTTATCAGGTAAACCAATGATCAGTGCATCACTACACGTTCACTTATTCTTTCCGAGAGGGAGTATTCTTTTCACAGTTAAAGATTATTTTGTAGTGCTCACACGTGTCGTCGCGCATGAACACAGTTCTTGTACTCCGTATAAAAGTGCTCGTAGCACATTCATTAAATTCAGTTGACAGTCGGTGCTCTTTCCTGTCCTTTCTGTCTCTTCCGAAAGTTGTCGCGCTGTGACTAGCACACAACCACGATGAACCAACTCTCCCAAATTAAGCTCTTGTTACGTAACACGTAGACCGAGTTTCGTATGAAAAGAAGGAGCGGTGCTTTTAAAATAAAATTTTTCACATACAACATCTAGGCGGCATTCCAGGAAGTTCAAAAGGCAGCCACGTGACCAAATATTTTTCCTCTCCTAAATATTCCAGAAGTTCACTATTTTCAATGCAGCACGAGTTTTTCGAAAACATTTGAGATGGTTGCCAAAATGGCTGGGACATTTGGCATAAAGCGACCCAGCTGTGTCATTAGCCATAATTATGCATTACCTCTTTTGTTTTTTGTGTGTTTTGACTCAGTTTTGTGTTCGTTTTTAGCTTATTGTGTTTCTGATCATTGTATTGGTTTCTAAGTATTCGCTAAAGTTATATGTGCAAAAACCCGTATATGTTTGCATGTACATCATTTCTCATAACCAATTGTTATACATCCAGGAATACAAAGCTTAATCCAATGTGATTATATACATTTGAAAACACTATCCATATATATTTTTGTGTGCATCACTTCTTGAGAACGATTGTGTACATGAAGGCGTATATAGTGAAATCATGGTGATTGTATATATTTGAAAGAATCATAAGTATATATATGCCTGTATTTCATTCCTATTAACCGATATTGTACATGAAGGAGTATTAAACTGGAAACCACTGGGATTGTAGATACTTGAAAGAATTATAGGGATATATTAGCGTATATTTCATTTGTAGTCTCTATGTACTTGAAGCAGTATACTAAACTGAAACCAGTGTAATTGTATGTTGCAAAGAATTGTCAATAAAGTGAAACTGAATAAATATATTAAACATTTGAGGTGTTGCATGTGTAGTGTATGTATACGTGAACGTATATCTGGTGAAAAAGTTGTGTGGCAGAAGAAAAGTTTGTTTTATTTGCCTATTAAATAAACGCAATATGCAAGGGCAGCAAGGCTTCATTTTCTGTAACGCGCATTATGCATATACTGTGAAGTATATATAGATGCAGCACAAGTTCATACACGATGGCACGCGTTTATATTTTTGCCCAGACGCAATGAATGGAGCTCGACAGGTGGCGCACCATTGATAATGAGGACCACTTTCTTCAAGTAGTGTGTAATCAGTGCATGCTGATATCTATTAGTGCAGTCTAAAAGAATACTGGCACCCCTGCCATGGGCACTCAACTCCCTTGTGCACCCTTCTCGCACCCTCCTCAGAGGGTGCTAAAAAAGTGATGGACATCGAAGGCACCCTTCCTTAAGGGTGTTTTTTTAACACCCTACAGTTTTTTTACATGTACACCCTATTCTAAGGGTGCATGAAAAAGCACCCTTTTTGGAAGGTGCTGAATTAACACCCTTAGGGTGTCGTCCACGGGACAAGCTCATTTACACCCTTCTGGGTGTAAAAATTTTTACTGTGTATAATAAGGAAAATCATTCAACATACGGCTGGCATATAACGTGTATATCGTGCTTTGGACATGCTGGCCCTGCCGCCGTGGTCTATAGTGGCTATGGCGCTCGACTGCTAACCCGAAGGTCGTGGGATCGAATCCCGGCTACGGTGGCTGCATTTTCGATGGACGTGAAAATGCTCGAGGCCCATGTGCTCAGATTTCGGAGCACGTTAAAGAACCCCAGGTGGACGAAATTTCCGGAGCCCTCCACTACAGCGTCTCTCATAATGATATCGTAGTGTTTGGAAGTTAAACACCAAATATTATATTACACGCGTAATATAATTCTGTGCCTCGCCCAGCGAAGCGCATTCCTCTGCCGGTGCGAGCAGCCATGTTCATAGAAAAGAGTACCTTCTGCCGGGCCCTGTCCTTGGTCTCGGTGTCCATCCAGGTGTTCAGGTCGATAAGGACGGCGAACGCGTCTCGCACTTCTTCCGCAAGGTCGTACACCTGTAAGTGGACAAATAATCGATGCTACAACAATCATAATGTTCACATATGCGCACAAACCGATCGAGGGTCTCCACGACGCCCTTTGGGGAGTGTTTTTGCCCCGCTACGACTAGCAGTCTATCCTGGCTTGCTAGATAAGGGGTGAGCGCCGAGTTTTGGAAGGAAAGGAAACGCAAGCAAGCCAGACATCTGTTATTGTTGTCGGACAAAGACTCCCCAAGAATTCAAATTTTTTCTCCTAACACTTGCACAGTTACAGTTCAGGCACAAAAGGAGTGAACTTGCTCTATATGTTGAAAAATTATTGGCGCAGGACAGACTTCTCAAAGGGTTCGCACTGTTTTTAGACCAATTATTGTTAACCTGCACTTTTACATGTTAGGTACAAGACTGTTGAACAGAAACTCCTCAAACGGTCCAAACTGTTTTTAAGAGTGCAATAATTGTGCATTTGCACATTTACATTCTCGGTACAAGAAAAGTTAAGTTGCTCCAGTCAGTGAACTTGCACACTCCGAGTGAAAGAAGACAAAAACGAGTAGAGTTAATTGTTTTTCGGACGAAACACTCGGTAGACGGAATGTGAACAGAGTAACTATTTTCTTTCAGTTTTTGCAGGTAATACAACAAATGGTGTTGCACTACACCGCTAAAAGTACTTCGGCCAGAATAGAGTAGACAGAGTAAACGCGCTTTATCTCTTAAACCCTCTATAAATGTGTTTACGGGGTATGCGTAAAATGGAGTAGAATACGTGGTCTTAGTCGGGCTTCCAATGAGGCCTATTCCTGTAACCGCACTCTGTTACCTCACCGAGGTAAGACCTCATTTGAGGTTATCGAAGCCATGGTTTACCTTGCATGAAGAAGGACTAGCCGACCTGCTCTCACTCGATCTTTCGATAATAACGAAAAGAGGGGCGGGTGCGTATGGTATACCTTGCGGTACCGCTCGGCCGGCTTGCTTATGTGCCGATCGAAGTAGAGCCTGCCCACGGCGAAATACAACAGTTGCGTGGTGAGGCGCACGCATTCGCGCGGCAGTTCGATGATGTCCTGCACCAGGTAGCGGTAGCGGTCGAACCGGAAGCGAGACCGCCGAAACCGATCCATGGTGTGGATGCCCATCGTCTGCACGATGCGCCAGCCGATGTAGTTGGCCACCGTAGAGCTGCAAGGGGGGAAGAACAACGCACTTAATAGCTCGAATGCTCACTCTGTAGGATCGTTATACGCCAACAGTCCTATAGTCTTACTAGCGACCATCTCAAAAGGGGCACCCAAACCCACTAACTTATTCGAAGGTTGTGGGCAAATAATACCCCATGTCCAGAGTGTGGCACACCAAGCACGTTCCTCCCCCCCCCCCCCCCCCTCAACTTCTTTCACTCGAATTATTTCATCATGCATAGAGAGCACAAAATGACACTCGACTAATTTGCCGGCCCGGCAAATGTAGTCCAAGTGGCGCCACCCCTCCCCCTGAGAAAAAAAAATCTGCCTACGCCATTCCCTATAAGCCTTACTTAACTTGTCTCTTGAAATAAATTGGTTTGCAGTAATGCACTATCTCAGTAGGTCGGCTGAGAGAACGTGTACATAGCATGTGTGCATTGGTGAATGGGTAATTCTCTTTGTTTGTTATACTACGGCGTCTCTCATAATCATATGGTGGTTTTGGGACGTTAAACCCCACATATCAATCAACATTTCCTATTCGTGCTTCTCATATCATCGATTCCCACTGTACGTGGAATCTGCCTCTTTTATTTTCAGGGACTTTAGCCGCCACGCGCTCACTGCGCCATCTCGCTGATAATGCTGAAAACACAATAGACCCCCCCCCCCCCCCCCGAGATGCCTGCTAACAGCGGTAAGTGGTAGATATTTATAGCTTGCCGTTTGAACGTTGAAAGAGGTACCACTGGTTGGCTCAGTGGATAACGCCTCGCGTTCATGACGCGGAGATCCCACGTTCTATGCCGTGCTCCGAAGTCTTTTAAAGACGATAGTCTTTCTTGGGGACTTTCGACGCAAAACTTTTGGTCTCTGTCTGTACATTTGTCTGTTTGTCCGCCCTTAACGGTACCTTAAATGGCATTAAAGTGGCCAAATGGTACTCCAAACGGCCGACCCCATCCGCAGCGCCCACGAATATTGCTCAAGATTCAGCGTTCATACTTGTGCGATTGTCAATTAAAAATCAAATATTCCACATATCTGCGCGTACCATAACAACACGTCAATATTCTGTTTGTGTGTCTCTTACTAGAGAAGGCATACATAAGTAATTCTAAGGACCGTAGCGTTTATCACGTTGCGCTGACCATGCAGCGCTTGCACGAAAAGGCAACTGTTTCCAACGCTTCGCTAAGACGACACGGTGGTGGCACCTACCGTCGCCTTGCATTCTACACCTTATCACCCACGAGACAGGCGCACGCGCTTCGTTTTAACTGCCAGATAGCGCTCATGTCTCACGTGTGACGTGACTTGATGCGCTCGTGCGGCCCCCGCTGCACGCTCGAGGCACTCTCGCAGCGCCTCCAGAATACCATTCACTAATTTTCTTGCGCAGAACATCAAATAACCGTTTTGTTCACTCTCTCCAGACGCAAGACTATATTGTCTTTGCAATTTACTAAGTCAGCTTCTGGTTGCTTTGAATTGCATTTCTGCCCAACCAAAGCATCTTTACAATCGACGACATTTTCGGTGTAACATGCAGATACGGGGCCAATTTTTTTTCTGGAATTTTTTGTCTTTCTTGCGTTTTCATATATGTTGATACGTACACATATATGGTACATGACATCGACGCCGACGCCGTTGGCGAAATGCAGCCGAGCGTGTCCATATAATTGCTATCGCAATCAGGTTATCACGAAAATATTCACGGTTAGAGGTGGATGCGATGTGGTGTGGAAGGCTGTTCAAATGTGCTATGGCGCTAGGTAATGGTGATGAGTTAAATGCCAGTGTGTGACCGCGAATGCGCATGAAACTGCGTGCGTTGTGAATGCGCCGAGATGTGCGCAAAGGGACATGAAGTGGCAACAGTACATTACTAGACGTGTATCCGTACATTAATACACATGTAACTTTTTGTAAAGCTGGTTTCACTGCAGTGAATATTTGTAAAGCCGCGGAAACATATTTCAACGGAAGTACGCACTGCCGTGAGGCTTTACTTCCAGGCTGAATGAACATAATATCCTGACATCAATTGATCTTTGTTAGATGCGAAGCAGCTCTTTGACTAGCCAGTGTAACGCTCTTTCCATACACCCCCCACTGCGCATGTTCACATCCCGCATTTCGTGCCGGCCCAGGAAGACGCCCGCAAAACTGTCGCTCCCCCCCCCCCCTCCCCCCTCTCTCGTCTTACAAGGACAACGCAGGCAGCGTCTCCTAGTAAAAGACAAACTGCTCGCGCTGCACAACCATTCACTGGCCACCCCGTATATGTTGGCACTGGATCGCGCGTTTGGAATTCAGTCAAGGGAGTCTCTACTTGGCTTTCACTTGATGGGCGCCAGCGTCAACGTCACCGCCAATGTAAGCGTTAGCGTTCGCTTCTTCGCACCTACACATGGTTCCCTTTAGCGGTAGATGGTCCATTTTCGTCTGGAGTATTTTTTTTTTACTTTTTTCACTTTTTAAAGGCTTTTCATGTTAGCTTACATGTTCTAACTATAGTGAATTTTGAAACGTAAAATATTTTACAGTTTGTCGCTTGCATTCTATCAAAAGTCAAATACTGCTAGTACTATTAAGAGTTGAGAAAGCGAAAATAGAAAACTTGCAGGTGGCACGAAACCACAAGTTCGTACCGATTTCTCAGAAAGAAAAGCTTCTTAGTTGCCGAAAAATTCGTCCTAGTTCGGCGATCGAACCCGGAGTCAACGCCTTTTCGGGGTAGTCGCTCTACCAATTGAGCTAATTAGAAAACCAGCGATTAGCAGCGCGAGGGTGAATTCACCGACAAATCAAAGCAAATAGACACAATATATGCAAATGCCACAAACTCTACTCTTTCTACAGCGCTCCTTTTCGATCCTCTGTTGTTTTCTTATATTAGCGTGCTGTGTTATTCGCAGTCATGGACCAAAACCAATTTGCCCAAGCTTCTACTCTTGCACAATACGGCAAGCATCCGAGGGACCGAAGTACTTAAACAGCTTTTACGCAACAAGCTTTGACTTCTTCTTTTTAATAGTCACCGTGAGTGAATGTTATTCAAGTAAATTGTAACAATAGAAGTGCGGTAACATCGCAACGAAGGAAGTATTCGCATGGAAGCAGGATGTGGAGACCTTCCGATACTATCTCCAGTTCAAATGTTGATGATTGATTTGATATGTAGAGTTTAACGTCCCAAAACCACCATATGATTATGAGAGATGCCGTAGTGGAGAGCTCCGAAAATTTTGACCACCTGGGGTTCTTTAACGTGCACCCAAATCTCAGGAGACGGGCCTACAGCATTTTCACCTCCATCGAAAACGCAGCCGCTGCAGCCGAGAATCGATCCTGCGACCTGCGGGTCAGCAGCCGAGTACCTTAGCCACTAGACCACCGCGGCGGGGCCCAATTCGAATGTTGATCTGCTGTATTTCTATGTAAATGTTATCGATGACTTGCCTCGACACTTCCTTGAGGAGTCGAGAGAGCCGCTTCAGGTAGAGCGGGTGCATCACCACCACGTGGTCGTCCAAGTCGAGCGACACGCCGACGTCCCGCAGCACGATGTTTAAGAAGTACACCCAGCGGATCTGCAGCACGTCGTGTAAAGGACATTTCTCATACTTTTTTTTTCATGATAAGTACAAGATCGGTGTTTATGCTTTTCAGGAATCCGTAGCTTAGTGTCATACAGAAGTGCTGAAGTATGATCCCTCTGCTAACGCCTCTCAGAAATATAAGTGATAGCTCCTCCTTGCGTTCCTCGCAAGACTTTTTCTTTGTTAGCGACGATGTCCTCAAAAGAAGCTGTTCAGTCGTTTTCTTTCAATTGTCATTGCGATACCAATCATATGGGAACTCTAGGTGATTTTTGCAATAGCCGCAATGTTACGTCTAAAGTCCAAATCTATAACATCGTCGCAACCGTCGTATAATACGAGCGAGCGAAAGCTTGCGAAGGCTGCAGAAGAATGTGGCTCAATCCGAGACGACGTAAGCCGGCCGGAGAACTATATTGCTCGGGCTAAATTACGAACGTCGATCTAGAGGGCGTGGTCACGCGGACTATCTCGACAGACTTCAGTATAGACAGTTCCTGCCGTCGCACGTATACAACTGTGCTATATCTGCTCGATTCGCGCTGAGGCGACATACTACGCGAAAACTGTTTCGCTCCGTGGAGCGGCCGTAGAACTTTTGCAGAGTCGCGCAAGATCGAATCCTAACGAAACACTTCATTCTGTCTAAACGGCGTCTCGCTTAGTCTTTGTTGAGAGACTACTGTAAAGATATGGGAAGGAGCTAGAACAAGTGACGCACTGACCTCTGGTATGGCGCCTTCGAGCATCTTGAGTGACATCAGGTTGTACACGCTCTGCGGATTGCGTATTTCGGTTGGCGGCTCCGAGATCTAAGGAAGGATAGAAAAATATTCATAACCGACAGCCGGGTGCGTTGACTGAGAGGGTGCAGCAAGAAAAGCACTCACGTAGGCGAGCTTCGCCTCAAAGGTGACGATGTCATTGACGATGTCGGCGGCGGCAACGTTAGCGCCGAGCAGCAGAGCGCATCGATAGATGTACAGCTTGTAGCGGTGCAGTATGCGGAAGAAGGGACTCCGGTAACGGCCTCGCAGCACCAGGGTCTCCACACCGAACGAGGGCTGTCCGATCTGTGCACAGTGCGATATACGTTCACATGTGTGCCTCGCCACCTTTTCGGCTTTTGTGAGATTCAGAGACACGAAAGCGAACGTGTATATATGAATCTAAGGGTGAATTAACAGAACTCTTTTGCAAGTGCGTCTTCCGTTTTGTCACACGGATTTTGTCATGAAGCGTTCTGCATCGCGATTGGTGCAAATATTCGTTTACAGAAATTTTTAGCGTGGCCCGCTTTCGTTCATACGGGCACTGCTAAGCATGCAGAAGCTTGGGGTCTCGCTCGCTGGATTTCGTGCCGACCGGTTGTGCCTCCGCGATCTCCGACGACAGCGCAGAGCTCTGGCCGACTGGCTCGATATACGCCGTCTCCTGCCGCCGACAAGGGATTTCGCCGAGTGCCCCGTTCTCGGACTCCTGCGACCGTGTCCATCTTTCTCATCTCCTCTTTACTTCCGTCGTTTTAGGGGCGAAACTCCTTATAGCGGCACCCGTTCGTCCCCCGTAGTATGTAACAAGTATAACATTTTGACCTCCAAGGTGGTGCCGGTGAGAGACTTCTGTGCGTTGTTGAACAATAAAAAATAGTGCTCAATGTACATGTCAATGGCTGCTTATGGGGAATGGGAGACAGGAGCATTCGGCTTTTAGTTAACGCGCAGGCTGCAATCACCATTAGCAGCCATTGCATGTACATTGAGCACTATCTGAAGGGAAAGGGTTGCTACGTTATACTCGCTGGGTGTAACCTCCTTAGCTTTAGAAAGGTTTAACGAGCGTTGAGCCGCAGTGCCATGAATACAATGAACTTGTATATACCATGAATGAACTCGAGGTGGTTAAAAATGGGAAGTAGATACGAAGCGCAAGCCGTAAGAAAGTAAAAGCCGAATTCTCCGCCTCTCATTTCCCATTAGCAGCCATTGGCATGTACATTGAGCACTATCTGACTGACAAAGTTTGCTACGTCATACTCGCTCGGCGTAACCTCCTTGGTTTTCGAAAGGTTTAGCGAGCGTTCGGCCGCAGTGCCATGAATACAGTGAACTAGTATATACCATAAACTCGAGGTGGTTAAAGGTGGGGAGTGGACCCGAAGCGCAAGCCGTAAGAAAGTGTGCGTGTGCCACCTCTCGTTTAGTCCTTGGAATGACCGCTGGATGGCGGTGCTTCTATATGGGGAATATATGATGAAAAGATGCGAGATGGTGGTACTTGGAGTGTTGAATAGATGGACGAACGGACACATAGACAGATGCATGGATGGACGCATGAACGGACGCAGGGGCGGCTGCATGGACGAACGAAGGGACGAACGCACGAACAGACGCACGCACGGACGGGCTGATAGACGCATGGACGGTCACACTGACGGACGCATGGATGGACGGAAGCAAGAACGAATTGACGGACGAATTCTTCGCCCCACTCTCCATCATTCACTCCGTGGATATGCTGCCATTTTTTTCTGTCGTTCGCTGTCCCTGCGCCCCGCTCTCTCCTTCCTCTCTATTTTTTACCTTTTAATCTTATCCTTTTAATCCCTTTTTACCCCAATCCCTCGTGCACGAGCTACTGTTGAGGTGTCGCAATCCGATTCAGACAGTTACGGGGCTCACTTTTCTCTTTAAGAATCACTTAAGAATGACATAAGAAGCTTTATTTTGGCCTCTTTCACCTCTATCTGGCCAGTGAACGCAACTCGTAAGTTATCTGGTGAGACGAACTTTCGTAAAACTGGTGACTATATATATATATATATATATATATATATATATATATATATATATATATATATATATATATATATATATATATATATATATATATATATATATATATATATATATATATATATATATATACGATGAAACTTGCGTCCCTCAATGATTGGGATGCACCTTACAGTAGTAGTAGTGGTCTCAAACTCACGTGACAGACCCGTAATTTAGTCTCCGAAAATGAATGGGAAGGGAAAAGATGGAGAGGTAAAGTGATGGAGATTTTAAAGGAGAAATCTGCGTAAATAACTGGAAACATAGGGAGGGACACGCACTCACAATGCTGTGTGTGTCCCTCTCTATACTTGTCTTGTCTTTATGCGTTGGGAAATATGTCTTAATCGGGAACCAACTCGCCCAAACAGCAGTTAGAGTTAAGTTAATTTCCCTCAAATCTCGCATATGGGTAGTCTGCGGGGCGTTTGACTTCAGAGTGCGAAAAAAAAAACAAACAACATGTCAATACTGACCGCCAGAATGGCGGAAATGGGAACGCCCATTCTGAAATAGAGACATTTTGTCCCACGGCAAGTTTCGATTGATTGATATGTGGGTTTTAACGTCCCAAAACCGCGATATGATTATGAGAGACGTCGTAGTGGAGGGCTCCGGAAATTTTGACCACCTTAGGTTCTTTAACGTGCACCCAAATCTGAGCACACGGGCCTACAACATTTCCGCCTCCATCGGAAAGTCAGCCGCCGATTTGCGCCGACTCCCACGATTTGCGGGTCTGCAGCCGAATACCTTAACCACGGTGGCGGTGGGGCCAAGGTGAGTTTCAACAACTCCTGGCGACTATATGGGGTGCCGCAAAAAAAAAAAAAAGAAGAAGCTTGAAACCAGCAACTTGTCTAATTCATGAACATGCACAGCCATGCACAGGCCTGACCGTGTGTTAGCGAGACCTGACTTGATAGTTCTAGCATTGCGTTTGACCCTAACGTTAGCGTTAGCGTGCGGGACAATGCTAACGCAAAAGGGGACGCACCGCGTGAGATAATCTAATCGAGAGAATTGCATACGTGAGACTTAGTGTTTGCGTTTATTGTCAATACGCATGCGTCGCACGCTATTTTTTCGCGGTCCCCCGATAAGTGACTGACATAGCGGGTGACTGCGACCAATGCTAACATTGCGTACGCTCTTCTAAAACTGCCTAGTGTTTTAGTTTAGCGTTAATGTTCTGTGCATGCGCCGTGTGGAGCACGCAATGCTACAGTACTACGTTTTTGCGTTTGCTCCTTTGAAGTACAGCACCTATAGTTGGGCGAGCCGGTACGTCTGCATCTTTACCATAATGGCGACATTAGATACTCAAGCTTGTGATGCTTTAGCCTCTGTAATGTTAGCGGTATATGGTAGTAGGTTGGCGCTCACGTAAAGGATGTAGCGTTCGCTGTTGTGGTAGTCGAGGTGCGCAGTGACCGAGATGAGTGCGTCCAGACGCAGCTCCCGGATGGCGTTGCCCAGCAGGTAGAAGGTGCGGAACTGCTGCGTCCGGTTCACTATGGGCCAGTGCGCTAGCTCGTACCGCGCCAGCAAGTCCTCCAGGGGCTTGGTACCTTTGCTGTTGCGCAGGTCTGCGCCCAGTGAAGAAAGGCACGCGAGGAAGATGCATGAAGATGTTTTATTAAGGTCAAATATCGTGAGGATAGCCGATTATGGCTAGCCATTTGTTCCTTCAGGATTCGGTACAAACGTTGAATCGATGCAAGGGTATGCCATTAGAAGGACATAGTTTTGTCCAAGCGCATTCCTAAACTATAGGGAGTTGTACCGTTGTGATGCAGCACGGTTGAGTTAGTTCTAACGGTGGCTTGAACGATGCACATCGACGACCCGTTACATTTGTCCGGGACAAAAGTTTAACCCCGGACTCTATGAGTGTTGCAGAAATAATTAAGGCAAGATGAATATAGCTGCTGTTGAACATATGTAACGTGTGGTTTGCCACCATGTTGGGATAATGAAATGTGGGAGAGAGTACGCACTTTGCTGCTGGAAAACCAATGCGACAGCGAAATGAGCGCTTTATCGACCTGGTATGCGACTTGGGGGAATGATGCTAACGTACCGATGTTGATGCAGCCTTGGTAGAGCGCAGCAGCCTTCTGGGCAGCTGTCTGGTCTCGGTACGATATCACGGTGTTGTTCAGTATCTCTGAAAGCATTCAACATGTTCGAAATGAGCGTAGTATGGTGCGGAAGTTGGCGAATACTTAATTTGCCTTATCTCTTCTATAACACAATGATTCGTAACCATCTAGGTGCCGCATGCGCACCGGAGATCTGGTCCTCTACGGTCCGTCGCATGTCCCTGGCGACGCTCTTGAAGACTTCGTCTGGAGCCACCTTGGCCGTGCGAATCCAGCCGCCGCAGACGTGCTCGTAGAAGTCCTCGCAGGCCTCCTGGAAGTCTAGCTTGGAGGCCCGCATCGTCAATGCTGCGCAAGTTGTCCGATGGGTTAACCAGGGAAAGCACATCAAACATGCATAAGTTAACTGCCACACACCATGACTTGTTCTGGACAGCACACGCACACGCACGCGCACACGCACACACACACACACACACACACACACACACACACACACGCACGCACACGCACACACACACACACGCACACACACACACACACACACACACACACATATATATATACACTGTAAGCAAAAACTATCCGAGTTTGGGGTTTTTCCGGCTCATGACCTCTCAAAACTCCCTCACGTTTAAAATTACTACCTCGCGTAGGAGTAAAAGATGGTACATGACATAGTTTTACCACCACCTCTCAGGCAAGTAGTAAAAGGATGTCAAAATCCAGTTTTACCACTTAGGGAGTTTTCTATCACGTGATTTTTAACCTGCGTTTCAGAGTTTATTACCACGTGACTGCAAGGTGCAGCTGCTTCGGCGGCTTTTGCCCCATACCCCCCCTTGTGACGCTCTCAGTGAATACTGAAGGTACGCGAAGCCCACAGATGTCTTTTTTTTTTTTTTTTGCATCGCCGTGCCTTTGGACTGACTTCGAGTCAGCGCACTTTTACTGGAACTGGGGGCAGCATAAGCACAACAAGCGAGAACAGCATTCTTTGAAAGAAAAAAAAAGAAAAAGACGGAGGGGGGGGGGGGCTCTCAAAAGAGAAAAAAAAGAAAGAAAACCTGCTGTGGAAAGTTGTCCTGCATATTTTCGCAAATTGTTGCTTTTGCTCGGCGGTGGCTTATGAGACAGACAGTGCAAGAAGCTCGGTATGTGTGTCTGGTTGGGCTGATGGATCTCACGTGTTTCCTACATCACCGAGCGACCGTGCTCTTCCGAGCGCCTCCGAACCTGCACGTCGCGGATATCTCCAGTTCGCGGATATCTCCAGATCTGCCAGTGGTAACAAAATCAGTCTGGTGTCGTCGTCCGGGCTTGCCTGCTGGAGCAGCAATAAGCAAAATGCTTCACTCTGTCGTCGGCACCGAGCCGCGGCCACCAGTGACCAGTGGGAGTGTGTCGCCGGGGCAGGTGAAAGAAGCATCGCATATATTTTGTTCCACAGTAGGTGATGTCTGCACGAGTAAAGTGCTGCCCGAATTGCCCACCTCATGCACCAACTGTTCTCAAACATGTATCACGAAGCCGATAAGAGGCAGACGGAACCAACAAGCGGCGGCCGGTGAGCACGAAGAAAACCCGGACCTGCCCGGATGGTGGTCTTTCGTTGGAAGTATGCATACATCGCCCCGTCTCCGCAAGATAGCGGTCACGCGTTCATTTGTGTCTGAAATGACGACGAAATTCGCACAGGATATGTGTTCTGTGATTGCCAGCTGTGTTTCATCGGATAGCCGTGCTCCTCGAATAGGCCTAGAACGCCGTCGGTAAGAAGCTTGTGTGCAGGCGTGCACCGCTCCTCTACGCCCGTTGTGATGAATACGTGCTGCTACTGTGTTTGTGCACCGTCGCTCAATGAAAATCATTTAGCTACCATGGTTTGTGTGTAATTAGGTATATTTTATGGACTTGTGCATCAGAAGCGCTAACACGCGTGGGGCAAAGAGCCCGGTGTGCCAAGCAATTATTGGATAATCAATAAGGTGAGATCGTGTAGATTTATAATAAAAGGTCGGTGTGACATTTAGTGCCCTGCAGCCCACCTGAAGCTTACGCTTGCACCTTCAAGCGTTGTTGTTAATCGATGGAAAAAAAGAGCTCTCCTACCGGTACCACTTGGCCGGTCAAAAAGTCGTGCCTATATATATACCGGATTGTCGAAGTGTAGTTGAGCAACGCGTGCAGTCTGTTCTAGTGGTGTATTATTCTGCATTTGTTGTGTGTGCGTGTTTGTCTGTATGTGAATCTATGTGTCACCAATTCTGCCGTTCAATAAATTCAATCAGTTCTGCTATTCAATAAATTTGTCGTCTCTGGCCGAATGCACCCGTCAATTTTTATTTTTTTACCACCAGAAATAACTCCCAGTACTCACCTCAAAAGCCTTGTGAAGGTAGTAAAAATTTACTCTCTCTATACTCGCTGAAAACCTCACTGGGGTAAATATTTACTACTCTCCCTACGTTCAAAAACTCAGTTAGCACGAGAGTAAATTTTTACCTCGGGAGTAGGTGGTAAAAAAAACCCAGGAAAGGTAGTGCGCTAGAGGACAAATGGTTTACCCAGTTTTTGAGGTTATTTCAGGTCATTTTTGTTTAGTGTGTACGCATACTTATACACGCGCAAGTGTAAACAGACACACGCACATACTTATTAGGAGGTCGAACTCCTCGCGAAACACAATACTGGCTACGAGCCTGATGCCGAGCCTGTTCTGGTAAGTACGTGTATTGCGATAGCTACTGCAACGAGAAAAAAAACATTACTCTGTAGTCATTTATGGAAATACCATGTTAGTGGGTGAGTATGAGAGTTTGGTTACAAACGCTCACCGTATGCCTTGCATTCGTCGCTTTCACAAGACAGGGAAGTGTTCATGTCGCCGTAGGCAGTTATCGTCCTGTTACCTGAAAAGGGATCACAAACGAAGGAACAGCATTACAAGGCAGGTGGCTATCCTTACGTCACTGATGTGGCTGCCCGACCATGTGAGAGACACTTATTTATGGAATCAGTGATCACTCACAGACTTCTTGGATGCTGAAGCACTTGAGCAGGATGAATCCCATGACGATTAGCGTGACCACGATGAGCACGGCCACAATGGTGACGCACGTGTTGAGGAAGTTGTCCGCCTTGGTGGGAGGCCTAAGAGATTAAGCACACGACGCGAAGGAATCATTTGTGCGTGCTGTTATCTTTCAGGGTGTGCGGTTTTTTTTTTTTGTTTTTTTTATGACCAACTTAACCTGGCGGACTGATTGGCCTACCCTGATCGTAGCTGTGAATTATGTTCTGTACACTCTGAGGAAAGGAAAGGAAAAGCTACCAGTTGTTCCGCGTACACAAATGAGCGAAGCTCCTTAGTAATGGGGTGCTCGGGACCATGCACCAGATCTCACAGCTGCCTTTCATGAAGGCCGTAGGGTGAGTAGGTGGGGGAGAGCGTTTGCTGCGCTCGATGGCGGGAACAACTGATGGTGAATTCCGCTGGTAGATCCGGAGTGGCCGCCGAAATCTTGAACAGAGCACTCATCATCATGATCATCATCATCATCATCATCATCATCATCATCATCATCATCATCATCATCACCCTGACTACGTCCACTGCAGGACAAAGGCCTCTCCCATGTTCCGCCAGTTAACCCGGTCCTGTGCTTGCTGCTGCCAATTTATACCCGCAAACTTCTTAATCTCATCTGCCCACCTAACCTTCTGTCTCCCCCTAACTCGCTTGCCTTCTCTGGGAATCCAGTTAGCCTTAATGACCAGCGGTTATCCTGTCTGCGCGCTACATGCCCGGCCCATGTCCATTTTCTCTTTTTGATTTCAACTATGACATCCTTAACCCTCGTTTGTTCCCTAATACACTCTGCTCTCTTCTTGTCTCTTAAGGTTACACCTGCCATTTTTCTTTCCATTGCTCGTTGCGTCGTCTTCAATTTAAACTGGACCCTCTTTGCAAGTCTCCACGTTTCTGCTCCGTAGTTAAGTACCGCCAAGATACAGCTGTTATATACCTTCCTCTTAAGGGATAGTGGCAATCTACCTGTCATAATTTGAGAGTGCTTGCCAAATGTGCTCCACCCCATTCTTATTCTTCTAGTTACTTCAATCTCGTGGTTCGGCTCCGCGGTTATTACCTGCCCTGAGTAGACATAGTCTTTTACAACTTGAAGTGCACTATTACCTATCTCGAAGCGCTGCTCTCTTCCGAGGTTGTAGTACATTACTTTCGTTTTCTGCAGATTAATTTTAAGACCCACCTTTCTGCTCTCTTCGTCTAACACCGTAATCATCAGTTGCAATTCGCCCCCTGAGTTACTCAGCAATGCAATGTCATCGGCGAAGCGCAGGTTACTAAGGTACTCTCCATTAACTCTTATCCCTAACAGTTCCCATTCTAGGCTTCTGAAAACCTCCTGTAAGCATGCGGTAAATAGCATTGGGGAGACTGTGTCCCCCTGCCTTACACCCTTCTTGATTGGGATTCTGTTGTTTTCTTTATGAAGCACATGATTCCCCTGTAGATTTCTTCCAGGATGTTTATATATACTTCATCGACGCCCTGATTCCGCAGTGTCTGCATGACTGCTGATATTTCTACTGAATCAAACACCTTCTCGTAATCAACGAAGGCTATGTATATTGGTTGGTTATATTCTGAGCATTTCTCTATTACCTGATTGATAGTATGAATGTGGTCGATTGTTGAGTAGCCTGTTTGAAATCCTGCTTCGAACGAGCCCTCGGAGTGTGCCAAACGAGATCTGCGAGTGGAACACGTGAATGCCTCGCGCGAGGTCTCTCCGGAAGTTTTTTTACGCATACGTCACTAAACCTGTACCAGAAACGATTTCCCTTTCTGCTCTCGACGTTTCAATGACAACTGTGTCGCCACTGCAAAGCACGCATTTCGACCACGCAGTCTCGCGGAAAGCAGGGCTACCGCTTTCCAGTGTTAGGAATGTAAACAAGAGCACAGGGTTACTAGACCGCCTCGAAAAATGCTGAGGGCAACCCAGCTGCCCGACTGTACCGGAAATGATGGCAACGCATTCTTGGAGTTCCGGCAAAATCCGTCTCTGCAAGATGGAGCACGCGGAACGCTCCGTCGCAGAGTGGATTGCTCCGAATCTACCAGTGGAGAATGCGAACTTGCTCCGAATCTACCAGCGAAACGCGGATTGTCAGCTTTGTAGCAAGAAGACTTGCTCCCGCGCGACGACGGTGGAGTGCGGGCTTAAAGAACTTTGCTTCTAAAAAGAAAAAAAAAACTTTTAATTCCTTGCTCTTCTTAAGTATGTCGTATTGAATATAACAAGCTCCCCTCTATGATGCCCTCGGGTCTGGAGGGTACTGAAATAAATAAATAAATAAATGAATAATTTAATAAATAAATAAATAAATAAATAAATAACGTGCGGAGAGTGAATTCGCCTGTATAATCCTTGTGGTTATCCAGTGGTTATCTGCTGTTTTTTCGTGAATATTTCATTTAATATTGTGTTCTTTTCTAGTGATTATCTTATTTGTTTTACGATTAAATATTTTGTATTCTGTGGTCTTATTTGTACTTTTTTCTATTTTTTCACTGCTCCGCTTGAGATGCGTCCCGGCGCTTTCGTTTCGCTGTCATTTCACGGGATCTGACAGGCCTAAACTGACGGAATAGTGCTTAGGCGTCGCTGTCATTCACAGGCAGGCGTGCGCTGGAGTTTCATTTCTGCGGTCTACTCGGCTTAAAAAAACACTGAAGGCAAATAACAATCTACGCCAGAGTGAGAGATCAACGCCTGAGAACGTCTAGAACCTCAATATCAACAGCAGTGCTCTGCTCATCAAGAAATTAAAGTACGACGCGATGTGCGCCGCCTGTAGGGCATTTTGGAATGATCCCGATGACGTGCAATTCCCAATTAATCACTAGTAATCAAACCAGTTGCAATAAAAAAAGAACCTTTCGTGCAATACAACACGTAATAAAATGCTACTTGGACGTTTTCATTTGATTCATGGTAAAAAAAAAAAACTGCTTTGCGTTACCCTGGAGAACGCCCCGCCGCGGGGGTCTATGGCTAAGGTATACACCTCAGCTGCTGACTCGCAGGTGGCGGGATCGAATCCCGGCTGCGGCGGCTGCATTTCCGATGGAGGTGGAAATGTTGTAGGCCTGTGTGCACAGATTTGGGTGCACGTTAAAGAACCCCAGGTGGTCAAAATTTCCGGAGCCCTTCACTATGGCGTCTTTAATAACCATATGGTGGTTTCCGGCCGTTAAACCCCACATATAAATCAAATCACACTCTGCAGAACGGCTCGAGTGGTTCGAAAGTTCCGTTTTCTTTAAACTGTGCTTCGCCCACACGGCCGTGCTTGTGTTGTTCCTCCTGTATCGCATACCACTGCATGCGTGCGCTTTGCACGCTCACGTACGTTGCTGTGACGGAAAGTTCGACAAAACGACGCGGGCATCCGATGTTTTGTCGATGTGCACCACTCGGGCATCCGATGCCCGAGTGCACGTGTACGCCGCTAGAGCTGCAGCAGTGAAATCGACGTAACTTTGCACAGGGTGCCGCAAAACAAACCCGTATACGCTCGAAGCGGCCGAGTGCCGCGCCTCTGCGCTAGCGTGCAAAGCAACGAAACATCTGCGCGTGTGCTCGCTGCACTGTCGCGCTTTAAAGCACGAGATCAACCGCAACTTGAGCAAGACTTGCAAGATGTTGAACCGCAACTCGGGCAAGACTTGCAAGATGTTCAACCGCAACTTGGGCAAGATTTGCAAGATGTCCTTATGAGCAATGCTCTGCTGCTACACGCGTCGGAATCCGCGCAGGAAAGGCGGGCAGCATTGGGCAAGGGCAACTGCTAGCTACGTCAGAAAGCCCGTCCAGGTGGGTCATCCGAAGCGTGCTAACGCCGTGCTGACCACTCAAACGTGATCTTATTTCATGTTGAGCATTTACTTGTCACGAAAGTATATATATATATATATATATATATATATATATATATATATATATATATATATATATATATATATATATATATATATATATATATATATATATATATATATATATATATATATATATATATATAGCACCACGAGGTTTCTGAACCACTATTTCCGCAATCAACGTCGACTTGATGTCCGCCTTTAGTGTCCTCTTAAGCCCTAACCAAACGTGCGTGTTACAACGCATCAGCGTGCGGCACGTCTTCACTTACATGTCCTCTAACAGGGACGCAACGAGGAGTCTATGCGCCAAGCGCCGACTCATTTTAACGCGCACGTACGGAATAAAAAATGACGCCAACTGCGACGCGCCAACGCAAAACATGAGACGACGACATCGTGGTCCTTTAAAACTGTTTCGCAGTTCAAAGCTGATCGATATGGCTTGCCGATTGGTTTACCATTGTCGATTGTAGCGGAAGAGATCCCGACATATCCTTTATTCTAACTGCCGGACAAACTGTTCACGACGTGCCACGCACAAAATGTAGAGTGTGCATATGATAATATCTGGGGTTTTTCGTCCCCAATTCAAGATATGGCTATGATAGGGCCGTAGTGGAGGGCTCCAGAAATTTTGAACATCCAGTGTTCTTTAAAATGCACTGACATCGCACAGCGCACGGGCTTCAAGTATTTAGCCTCCACCGAAATTTATACCGCCGCAGCTAGGATCAAACCCACGAGCGACGGGTCAGCAGCAGAGCACCGTATACCTACTAATCCACCGCGGCGGACAAGTAGAGAAAGCAAGCTTACGGCGCCTCTGTTTGGCGAGATCCGAATTCATGTGGTGCAGGGGGTGCAGGTTGTCCAGGGTGCCCAGGATGTTCAGGCTGTCCGGGATATCCAGGTTGTCCGGGATATCCAGGTTGTCCGGGATGTCCGGGTGGCCCGGAGTAGCCAGGATGTCCAGGTTGTCCAGGGTATACAGGAGGTGGCATCGCTGGTTTCCTAAAATAGTTCAACCGGTTCGCTCGAGTGGGTTGCTATCGATACTGGGAACCACCTAGAAAAAAGTGTACAACACTGTGGCAGACGGACATGGTCGAATATTAACGGAGTGACTGGTGGGATCATGGACAGGAACGTCCATGTCGTGAACAGTGGGAGATCACCCCGCGTGTATTATTGCAACAATTACATAGATAATATACACACTCCAGGTGCATTTACGCCATCGCCGTCATGTTACCTGTCAACTACACAAGTGACAAAAATCGCCCCGTGAGTCACGCGTTCAATGTGCGACTAAGCTCGTTCTAGTTGCAGCCTAATATCGCAGTTTAAGTGGAAAGAAAGTACGTCGACTTTCGTTGGTTTAGCGCATGCGGGGTATCTGAAGAGACGGAGTTGCTTCTGCATAAGCTGCGCGATTCAAGCAGCGGGGCGTATTGCGCGGTTACAATCTTGACAGAGATCAGCAGCCGGCTCATACCTTAAAACGTGCTCCGTTCTCGCTTCTTACTCTGCGTTGAAGATACAGACAGCATGAAGGTAACTTCGCTGGTTGTAGTGCATTACGTCACCGTTTTGTTGAGTTGCGAAATGTCGGATGCCGAAGGAGTTACCTGCTAGCCCTAATTCGTAAAACATACCAATTCGTTTCTGTCGCATTCATCGGTTTGACTTTGCGAAATAATCATGAACTACTTCATCCTGTGCATATACTCCATCGTATCCGAGAATACCGTCGAGTGATCGTTCTCGACAAGTCTTGCAGTAGGCTTAAGTCTATAGCCTAACGCCAAGCCAACTGGATACGTCCTAACGGGGCTTTCGGAATGATTACGAGCGCCCGCGGTCGATTAACTGTAATCCCAATTCGGGGACGCAGGCTTTCGTGCAAATCAGCGTGCGGCAGAAACGTGGCCGCCGTGGCTGGCAACTGAAACGACTGGTAGGTACTTAGTAGCGCAATGCCGACAGGCTCCCCTGGCGGGTCTTGTAGCAACACGTGAATGTGCTACGAAGACGTACCTCTTGCAAACGTTACGGCAGGAGGGATCTCGGCGGCTACGATGGCGAGGTTCAGAGCGCTGACGGTGGCCGGCAGAGAGCGAGCTTGCAACTGCGTCGATGCCAGGAGACTACCGCGCACGAACACCGCGAGGCTTGCGAAGCGCGTGCACCGAGTGCACCACGGGCTAGAACGGACGTTCCAGGCAGTGGCGGAAACCCACTACAGGGGATCAACCGCAGAATCGGACTGCACAAGTAATATACGCGATTTTAAGAATACGAGCATTCGTGAGGTGGAGCCACCTGGTGTAATAGCGGGGCATTCTGCCCTGTCTGCAGGTTCTGCCACTTTTGGACCACAATAAGGTCACTCACTCACTCACTCGCTCACTCGAGGTTAAGTCTTTAGTCTCTTACACTCACCACAATACGGAAACAACAACAACAACAACAACAACAACAACAACAACAACAACAACAACAACAACAACAACAACAACAACAACAACAACAACAACAACAACAACAACAACAACAACAACAACAACAACAACAACAACAACAACAACAAAAGTGTGATCAACTGAGCATAGAGTTTCCTAACATACACTAGAGGGAAGTCTGGCGCTAGTGTCTATGGGAGCTGCAACGCACGGCTCTTCAGCGAGCATGGGAATGATGGGTAGTACACACATTTGTCCAATATTCGTACTTTTGTCCTGCTTTTGGTTCCGTGCGTGTTCGTGTGGCTTGGAGCTGTTTTCTCGCGAAACAAATATTAGCAAATGTTCAGCGGTTGCGCTTCACCATCTTATTATTTTAGACTTACCTTTCCAAATTGGGTCACGAAGTTCAAAGGGTCGAATCTTTTTAAAAAACAAAACAAAACTGAAACACAGCAATAAACAAAGCCGCAACTACAATTCGCTGCCCGCAAGTACGAAGACTAAGCAAATATGGTAGTACGCACCATTCCCATGGTCGCTGAATGATCGCAGCGCCAGAGTCCCCTTTAGTTAATTTTAGGAAACTCTATGCTATTGAGTAAGTCCGACGTATGCAGCATAAATCATGTTTCCCGGTAAGCATAAAAGAAGTAATAAATGAAATAGTGGAGTTACAGGGCATTTATTTTACTTTGGATGCCACCCAGAGAGCTTTTACACTAGCGGGGGCGACAATTTGTTTCAACAGTTGTTCCTTGTTTCAGAAACGGGCCCTTTGGGGCATTGGACACACTGGTTAATAAAATATGTGCGTGTGCAAAGCACTAAAGCAGAAAAATCAGCCATGATAATAAAAATTTAATCTTATACAACGAAATTGTACGAGCTCTCGTATATAAGACTTCGTCAGAAAGAAACGGATAACGTAGTGCCTCTGATTAGTTTCGTTCTTAATTTTTCTTGTTTGTGTGTTTATCTTGTACATTACTGTCATGATGTTGGTATAACCGGCTATAACGTAGCCTACTTTTCCATATTCTGCCAAATATAAATAAAAATTAAAAAAAATACTTTTTGTCCTTCATAATCAATTATTATGAGACCTCCTTATTCTCAGTACATCGTAATCACATAACTCACGCTGCCCTATAGGTTGGTCCATAGTTTTTTGTAGATGCGTGCATAAAATATGAATTGGCATAAACATCATCATCCTGACAAACATAACTAGGGTCAAAGGGACATGATAACCCAAACTTGGAAAAAAAAAGATTCGAGAAAAAAGCAGCAGGGAGCAGAAGGGTTAGCGCCCGACCTTTCTGCTTCCTCCTACTCTTTTTCTCGAATCTTTATTTTCCACGTTTGCGCTATCATGTACCCCTTTGATGTTAACCAACTCGCGCCCGACAATAAGTCTTACTCATACCCTAATGTGTTTAGTCACGTTTTCAGGATCAAACCAACCGTGCAGTCATTTACTGAGGGTTCAACCTATGTTTATTGCTATATCGACTAGTCATTATTTAGCTTTGTTTATACACTATAGGCGGCCGACCCGCCATGGCTCTCTAGTAGTTCAACTGCTGCTGCGAAGGTCCCGGGATCGAATCCCGACAGCGGCAGCTGCATTTCAATGCTTGTGTGCTTGGATTTAGGTATACACGTAAAAGCCAAAAAATGGCCATAATTTCTGGAGCCGCTCTCTACGGCGTGCCTCATAACCAAACTGTTGGTTTTCGGATGTTAAACCCCTGAAGTTATTATACCATGTGTACGAAATCGCGCGAAGTGCAGCACCTACAGAAGAAAAGAACGAGGAAGGAGAGTGGCAGTGGAGAAGAGGCTGGATTGCTTTTCGACTGTTCTATGTACGCGATTTTGAGACGGTATTGCGCCAAGCGCTAGCAAATGTTCATGCCAGAGAGATCTTCCTACAGCATAGGTGGCCGATTTATTCTTCGTCTTTAGTCTCAAGTAAAAAAAAATAAACATGGTATATTGATGAAGCGATGATGATGAGTGGACGAAGCAGTGGTATCGTTATGTGTTACCGTAAATCATCCGCGACATTGACCACTCACGCATATGAATGAGTGGCGAAGCGGCGTAGCGTTATATGCATTGTTTATTGGCGATAACTGGTATGTTTTTGTGTTGTGTTGTGAATTCGTTGTTGCCTTCAATGTTACTGCTTTGTGGTATCGGATCTAGTCTAAAGTTGGCAAAGGCGAGGTCTGGGCACTTTTCCCTGGTGGTTGTTGATTGTTTCCAGTCATACGAAATGCATTTATAGCATGTCGAGACGTCATCTAATGCAAAAACCAGTCGTTGTTCGGGATTATATTTATGAAGCGATGATGATGAGTGGGCGAAGCAGTGGTATCGTTTGGTGTTACCGTAAATCATCCGCGACATTGACCACTCACGCATATGAATGAGTGGCGAAGCGGCGTAGCGTTATATGCATTGTTTATTGGCGATAACTGGTATGTTTTTGTGTTGTGTTGTGAATTCGCTGTTGCCTTCAATGTTACTGCTTTGTGGTATCGGATCTAGTCTAAAGTTGGCAAAGGCGAGGTTTGGGCACTTTTCCCTGGTGGTTTTTGATTGTTTCCAGTCATACGAAATGCATTTATAGCATGTCGAGACGTCATCTACTGCACAAACCAGCCGTTGTCCGGGACCGTCATTGTCATTATCATCATCGTTATCATCATTGTCTCATGACGTATAGTAGGTACCTTGCATGATTTATGTGCCGTGATGGTCTAGAACAGCCTTCTACTTCATCGCCATCGTCAGCTACGGCGCTCAACGCCAACGAATAAGCCTAAAACTCTTGCCCTTATTTTGTCACGTGGTCGTGAGGTTGACGAAGGCAGCAGCCGATGTGTCCAAGATGGAACTGTTGATTTGATGGTACTTGCGGCTGACAAACTGAAAGTCAAACTACAGCGCCACACGTGGTACACTGATAGCGGCGAACAGAGCGTCGGCCGTCGATAAACTGACCTGAGGTGAGGTGCGGCGGCATTTATACGGGCGGCATGGAACATTCAAGCCTTATCGCTGGTGCCCGCGCGAACTCTCGAATAAGCTCGCTCGTCTATTCGCGTCCTGCGCATAAACTTAAAAGAATGTTCTTCAACAATCGCAAAGCTGCTCGAACGTCGCTAACAGCCTTTGTGGGTGTAACCTGAGCACATCAAAACAAGGTTAAACACGCGTGGCAATATTAACCGCCGGTTACCCACTACGGCAATACGCTCGTAGTGGGTAGGAGCCAAGAATAAAAAAACTGGTGAGCAAGCTTTTCGCCTAAACCAGCCCCCCGTAGTGGGTTGAGCCATTCCCCTTGGGACCAACCAACCATCCAGCCATCTAGCGCGCGCAGTGTTACATCAGTCGGTCGTCTGTTCGGCGCCGTCGCCGCATCTCGTCAGGTCGAACGATGTTCGCTCGGATCCTCGCCGGCGCTGGACTTCTGGGTGGTGGCTGCTGCGCCGCTACCTTTGCGTCCGTTAGGGAAGAGCCGAAAGAGAACAGGTCGCCGTACAGATCCTGGAGCACCGTCTACCAGCGTTCCACTTACTGGGACAGCAACTGGGACAGGTGAGGGATGTGCTGGGCTATTTCGTATGCAAGAATAGTGCGCCGGAATAGGGGAGGACTCACGACCCGGGTTGGAGGTGACCACAGTTATAATCGGATCTTGGGTGTGGCTACGGGCGTGCACACATGAGGGCTAAAGAAGGTGCAGTCGCCCCCTGTAATCAGCTAAGGGTCGTTTCAAATCTGCCCCCACACGTTTGGTCATTCTAACATATCCCAGTAACCCTGCCGCGGTGGTCTAGTGGCTAAGGTACTCGGCTGCTGACCCGCAGGGCGCGGGTTCGAATCCCGGCTGCGGTGGCTGCATTTCCGATGGAGGCCGAAATGTTGTAGGCCCGTGTGCTCAGATTTGGGTGCACGTTAAAGAACCCCAGGTGGTCTAAATTTCCGGAGCCCTCCACTACGGCGTCTCTCATAATCATATAGTCGTTTTGGGACGTTAAACCCCACATATCAATCAGCATATCCCAGTAATTTCTGAAGTTCAGGGTTACCCTCATGCAGGTTTTTAGGGATAATGACGACCGAGTGCTCGCGATATTGCATTCTGAGAATCGTCTATTTCCCACCCCCAAGCACGTCGTCGTTTCGTTTGCGTACCTCTTGCGAATATTCTTTGATTTCGTACTTGACCGGAAGGGGGAGAGGGGATCAAATACGATGTGGCACTGCGTTTGTGCGACCTGCGCGTGTAAGACTCGCCGTCTTAGAAAGACGCCGTCGTAAAGCTATTTGGCTACATGCTAGAACTTGTCCGTTCGTACGTCCGATCCGTGGGTGTACAGTAAAATCGGCCATTATTATTATTTCTGCGTCGACGTAGGCGCGACCCCATGTTCTGCGTGAAGCCACCGGAGGACGACTCGCCGGCGGAGATGCTTCGTTTCGAGGAAGAACTGAACAAAGCCAAGCCGAAGCGAAATCGGTATCTCTACTTGGTTCGCCATGGGCAATTCAATGTGAAAGGAACCACGGACAAGGAGTGCGCGCTTACAGAACTCGGTAAGTTAGCGTACGCGGCTTTCGTAATGCCGTGTCATTAACCGTTCACATCTTAGTTTTATAACTTGACCATGGCATCGCTTGTACATCGGGGCCATCGCTTGTACATCTGATTACCCAGGCGTCAAGATTCTCTTTAGAGCGATAGCCCCTCCCATTACAAACCCGGTAATCTACTTGTTGTGTGAATATGACCTTGATGTGACCTTCAAGGTCAACGCCGGCGCAAAGGCTTCATTGAAACACTAGTGTGGCGCGTACGCGAAAACGGACAGCGGCCCAAGATGAATATTTCGTGCAGTTATCGCCAGAGGCGCTAGCTACAAGGGTTACCTGTATGCAGCAAGAACAAAAAGATTTTTCCTTTTCGAAATACGCGCGGCGCAGGTCACCGCTCCGTTATGAAGCGAACGCTCATAGAATCCTTCACTGCGCATTCGCCACGACTGCTCCGAAAGGAGTCGGTGTGTTGTCGTGTAGAGAAACACGTGGGATATTCCTTCAGAGCCATGTAGTCGCAGCTATAGACGTTTCGTAGTACTCGCCTAAATTAAACCATACTTAATAGTCACTTAATATTTAAATCTCTGAAAACCAACGGGGTCGTTCTAATTCCCAAAGCAAATGCGAAACCAAGCTATCTCTCGATAAACTTGCCTTAGCCGCGACCAATCAATGATAGAAGCAAACACAGAACGATCCGGCGTAATAATTACACTGGGCGAATGTGCCGCTCGCTTCCATCTTCTATTCCCCATTCTCGCAAGACGTTGCGCCATAGATTGCAGGAATTATCGCCTTTCCTAACGTCAAAGCATTACTACTCTACCTTTTCGATATGCAATGAGCTGATACAACTGACAGTTCCTCTTTTTTTTTCTTACAAAGACTGCGCAATCTTAATGCTTGCTCATTTCTGCGGCTGGCAGTGATCACAAGACAATTTGCGACTGGCGATAGGCCGCAAATTTCCGTGACCGATTTTGCGAGCCTAATGCGAAATCTACAGCCCTCGTCACATATAATTATATTTGTTGATGTTCAACGTCCCAAAACCACGATATATGATGAGAGACGCCGTCGTGGAGGGATTCGGAAATTTAAACCACCTAGGGTTCTTTAACGCGCACTTGAATCTAGGTACAGATCATCAAGCATACCGCCATGGCTGGTATTTGATCCCCCATGTGCGGGCTAGCACTGCAATCGTTATGCAGAGCACACGTCTGCCTGTGTTGATATTGCCCCGTAGCCCCGCCGCGGTGGTCTAGTAGCTAAGGTACTCGGCTGCTGACCCGCAGGTCGCGGGATCGAATCCCGGATGCGGCGGCTACATTTCCGATGTAGGCGGAAATGTTGTAGGCACGTGTGCTCAGATTCGGGTGCACGTTGAAGAACTCCAGGTGGTCTAAATTTCCGGAGCCCTCCACTACGGCGTCTCTCATAATCATATAGTGGTTTTGGGACGTTAAACCCCACATATCAATCAATCAAGAAAGAATGCGATTGCAGCCTGCGACAAATCTTTTGTAACTCCACTCTTACTAGGCATATTTTGAAATATTTTTGCGGTGGTGAATTCGTGAGGCGATCAGCTTCCTTATTGAATGCATTCCACGGCTACTTTGAAAAATGTTTCAGGGCTCCTTTGAAGTACGCCTAAACAACGTCGAGGTCAAAGAGGAGAGTTTTTTTTTTTCGCCTTCACTCAAGTTCCTTCGGGCGATATGTCCTGCTCGCGTCTTATCTCTTCATAACACACGTGGAATGTCGCCAGCACCGAGTGTTGAGGCAGTCGGAATTTCGCGTTTTTTTGTTTGTTTACACGCTGTTATTTGCCCTTGCGCAGTCGCAAACGCAGAAAATAAAGCGAAATCAGTTTATCGCACATGTCAGTCATACGAGACAAGGCAGGCGGGCATGTGACTGCATGGCCATATATATATATATATATATATATATAATATATATATATATATATATATATATATATATATATATATATATAATATATATATATATATATTATGGTAAGAGACAGTATTTCATCCTGACTTCACGTGAGCAAACAGGTGGCGTCACGAATTGTGCCGCAAGGACGGACTTTCTAGGGTACTCGGCTGCTGACCCGCAGGGCGCGGGTTCAAATCCCGGCTGCGGCGGCTACATTTCCGATGTAGCGGAAAATGTTGTAGGCCCGTGTGCTCAGATTCGGGTGCACGTTGAGAACTCCAGGTAGTCGAAATTTCTGGAGTCCTCCACTACGGCGTCCTCTCGTAATGGTGGTTTGGGACGTTAAACCCCACACACGCGCGCACACACACGCATTCGAAGAACGAAAGAGACAGAAGGGCTGAAGGTTTCGAGGCGCGAGTGGCGTACTTTTTTTTTATTTGAGATTTATTTATTTTCTGTACGTGCAACAGAAAAAACGAAGCAAAAGCAAAAGGCTACATAGCCTGACGGAGGCTTTTGCTCCGAAATACAGTCTGGCAAAATAAAATAAAAACTAAAATTAACATGTCATACACAACTTAGCCGAATTAGAGAACATCATTATATACAGATACAATTTGCAAATTATGATCACACATGTAACCATTACAAATATAAAGAAAGAACAGGACAGTAAATAGTAATGAAATACCTAAAAAACATCGCAATATATACAATAGGTGAGGTAAGGAAAGCATCAGGAGACACATACATTCCTAAAAAACAACAACAAAAGGACACGAATAGTGTACTCTAAGCAATTGGGACACAGAAAGTAATAAATAATCCAAATTTCTGTATTAAGTGTATTCAATACAATTATAAAGAAGAAATTCCTTGAACTTATTTTTGGAAGTTTTCTTATTTAGGTCAAGTACGTCACCCAGTTTGTTGAGGAGACTCGGTATTTGGTAATCAATATGTTGTTGACCATAGGTTGTTCTAGTTTTCGGTGTTCTTATACTATGTGTACGGAGATAGTACTCAGCACATAGAGAAGAATCGTACATGGGGTATAGTTTATTATTTTGGATATACAATAATAACTTATAATAATATATTTGGTTTGCTTGTAATATGAGATATTTAGGGAATAACGGACGTGCGCTAAGACCTTGTGGCATACCGTAATATCCCTCGAATAGTCTTAGTACCCTCTTTTGTAGTGTAAGTAATGTTTTATAGTTTTGAGCCGTCGTTGTTCCCCAACATAAGACACAATAACTTAGCCTGGAATATATCAGTGTATAATATAACGCTTTCTTTAGCCAAAGTGGTAATAACGGACATAGTTTGTACATACATCCAACGCTTCTACTTAGATCTGCTGCCAATTTATTTATATGTTCATTCCAGGAAAGGTCTTCCTGGAACCACACACCCAAGAATTTCTGTACCTTGACTTGTTCTAAAGTCTGACCCTCAAAGGAGATACTTAGACTTATATTCCGTGGCTTATTAATGGGTGCAAACAATATATATTTAGTTTTACTCGCGTTTAGCCGCAACTTATTTAGTTTAATCCAGGAAGACAACTTATTTAGATATGTGTTTACAGACTTTTCAAGTTGAGAGATCGATGAACCAGCAAAAAATATATTAGTGTCGTCCGCATACATGATTAACTTAGGAGAATCCGGAATGCTACACAAGTTATTTACATAGACTATAAACAACAGAGGACCAAGTATCGATCCTTGTGGGACACCTTTGTTGACCCTCGCACGGGGAGATGTCTCTTGATTAATAGCGACATACTGATAGCGGTCTGTTAGGTAATTTTGAATTAACCTATTGGCAACGCCACGGACACCGTAGTTATTAAGTTTTTCTAGAAGAACACTGTGATGCACGGTGTCGAATGCTTTGCGGAAGTCAACAAAAAGACCAAGCGTATATAGCTTTTTCTCAAAATTGGTTAGTATCTCGTTTTTAATATTGAGTAATGCAAGCTCGGTGGATTTACATTTTTGAAAGCCAAATTGGGCATCACTTATTACATTGTACTTCGCAAAAAATTTTGTAATCTAATATTAATAGCGCTTTCAAAAACTTTTGACAGAATCGGAAGTACCGATATCGGTCGGTAGTTTCCAATCTCTTGGTCATTACCACCCTTGAAAAGCGGACATACGCGAGCTATTTTTAATTCATCGGGAAATACGCCGGTAACAAGAGTTAAATTAATATTATGTGACAACGCAGGTGATATAACATCAGCGACGTATTTTATTGGTACAGCTTTAATATCATCGTAACCTGCTGCACAATGGTTTTTTATCTTTGTTATTAATTCTTCGGTTTCATGACATGAGATAGTGTGCAGAACTATAGAGTTAGATAAGCGACGGTCATTTACAGGCAGTTGTGTATCCTCGTCATACCCCGCATCATCGAAATCACAATTTTTTATGAAGTAGTTATTCATTGCCGTTGCCACCTCTCGGTTACCAAGGCCACTAGAGTTTTCCAAAACCCTAGGAATGTGGCTTTGTTTTATTTGACCAGAAAGATTTCTAACCTCGCTCCAAATTTTGCTAGGATTATCACTTATTCTACTAAATAAATTCTCATAATACCTGAATTTAGCACGCCTTATTTCACCATTTAGATGGTTTCTGTATTTTTTGAACTCGCTGAGTAATTTGATATCTCGTGTCTTTATAAACGCATGGTACATGTTGTTCTTCTTTGTAATTTTTTTAAATAGCGCATTACTTATCCAAGGTTTTCTAATTTTCTGGCGTTTTGCGTTCTTCACAGACACCGGGAAAGCTTCATCATAACATTTCATGAGTTTATTAATGAATAGCTTGTATGCCAAGTTAGCATCCCTTTCTTGTAACACGTGGTTCCAGTCTGTTGCAATAACACGATACCGGAAGATTCCAAGCGTGTCAGCGTTGATCTGACGAGACCGTACTTTTTTATTGCTTTTGCAAGTACCATTGGAAGAAGGAATGGTGCAAAAGATCGGTAGATGATCGCTTATATCTACTGCCAGC